TCCACACTACACTGAATATATTGAAAACAAAACATTTCATTTAAGCTGAGGTTTGACAAATAGCTAAAACTTGAAACATTAAAGTTACTGTGTTAGGGCTATGCAATGTGACCAAAATTTTGTACTCCGATTTAAGACATTTATCGTCACAACAACGAAATATATATATATCACAAAAATTTTAAATTTTATGTAAATTCTGTGAATCTCGGGACACTCAACTTGCTTGAAGTGTTTTCAGGTGGGCGTCGTGTACCTGGGGTCAAGTGTTAGGGTTTAGACATAAGTTGTAACGGCCACCATTTTCTTTGTGAGTATTTATTACACGGCGTGCTGCTGGGAAAAGTTTGTTCTAACGTTTGAGTCTAAGGTTTATTTTTTAGCACCTAAAAATACACATATTATGCATATTCTGGCACGCTGGGTTTACCGTCATTGTTGCTAACCACAACGCGTAAAAACAGTTGCTTGTCCATCCGTAGTGTAGTTATTTTAAATATAAGAGAAAGAGAGAACTTTAAGAAACTAATATAGCCACTACAGTGACCATCAAAAGGATTAAAAAAATATTGCCGTAAACAGTTTATTTTGCAAAACCATGAAACAAATGATAACGTAATATGTGGTCTGTAGACTGTAGACCAGGGGTGGCCAACTCCAGGCCTCGAGAGCCGGTGCCCTGCAGGTTTTAGATCTAACCATGTGTCAGCACACCTGAATCAAATGATTAGTTCATTATCAGGCCTCTGGAGAACTTCAAGACATGATGAGGAAGTCATTTATCCATTTGAATCAACTGTGTTGGATCAAGGACACATCTAAAACCTGCAGGACACCGGCTCTCGAGGCCTGGAGTTGGCCACCCCCGCTGTAGACACTGCTCCAGCTGATGATTATGTTTTGAGTATTACACTTGGTAACTTTTGTTTTCTCTGTCTCTTTTGTCTGTTAAACTCTACTGACAGCACTATTAGGGGCAAATTGGGGACAGGAGTACAAGCTCTGGGTTGGACTGAGCTTCCAGGATTTAGATTATGTGTGGAAGTGGTCTAATGGGAATCCTTATGCATATCTGAATTGGGATTCAGGTAAGTTTACTTTCAAGTTTCAGGAGCTTGTGTTACCATTCTGATGATAATTTATCTTACTATTGTTAAATTATCTCATCAATTCATCTTGATCATGTTTGCCATCTGTTTTATTTATATAAGAAATCTTGTCTGTTAGCAATTAAATTTTTTTTTTCCCTATTTCTTATAAATTTCTTCCACATGGGTGTGCTAGCCACACTGTAACTTTTTACTGGTCAGCAATTTCAACCACTGCTAAATTATTGGCGTTGTGTATCACATAGCCTTGTCACTCTTGGGTAGAAATCATAGGCCTTTACTTCTTTTCCACTAAAACTAAAATGCTCATACACAATACACACCGTGCTTCTAAATATCTTGAGAATTCTGTGAATTGAAAGTTGCCGAGTCTCATCTCATAAGTGACAAGTATCATTTACCATCACTGTACTGTAGGACATCCAGTTTCTAATCCAGGATATAAGTGTGGAATTATTGATGGCGCTGTTCAGTTTTCTTGGCAAAGTTCAAAATGTAACAAGAAACTGGGATACATCTGCTACAGTGAAGGACCTTTGGATGCACCTACTGAAGGTACAGAAAAAAATCCCTTCTCTACCCTTCTCTTAAAAAACTTGATTGACTCTATTTCTTTGATCTTCTTCTTTTGTTCTTATGCTTCATAGCTCCCGAGAGTGGATTTTGTACAGCACCCTGGATCCCCTACAATGGCCACTGCTTTTACCTTTATCGTAATGAAACAAAAAAATGGTCTGATGCTCAGAAAGCTTGCCGTAAAGAAGGAGGAGACCTAGTAACCATTCGTAATGTGGAGGACCAAAGCTTCATCATCTCTCAACTTGGATATGGTATGGCAATAAAAACTTCTGAGCACCATTTGCATTCCTTCAACATAATCTTCACACAACACTTCATATCCATCTTGTTAGTAATTTCCCCACACGTCTGCCCTTTTAAAATGAAATATTTTTGAGGCACGATCTAATATGATTATGTTGGTATGTTTCTGGATCAACAAAAGTAATGTTTGTCCAGGTTTAACGTTGCATGTTATCAATCACATTGCAGTGATGTCATAGTGTTGCGATGTGGAAACACCATCACATCGCACACCAAACTCTAATCCTAACCCCATTACCCAAACCACGATCACATACTGATGCCCAACTCTAATCCTAACCACTCCCTTTTCTTTTCCAAGTTGAAAAGCTATGACATCATAACAATGTGATTGGTCAGTTGCAATTTCAGTCCTGGACCAATATTATTATGTTGATCCAGAAACAACACCAACATAAGTTATTGCTAAAGTTCCAGGAAGTTTTCAGCTTGTGTTTAAGTCATAAGAAGTTGCCTCTCCTTAATTTTCCAAATGTCTAAGTTGGGTTGAACATCACACTCAAAAGTTAAAGACACACCAAACCCAGATATTAATGAACATCTTATAGCTACACACTTCATAAGAATGTGAGCAATCTTTTCCTAGGAAAGGGGTCTACTGCTGTAGTTTCAATGTACAACTCTCCTCCAACTTAAGAAAATGCAGTTCTCTGACAACAGGTAATAGTCATTTCTCAGCCAACAGGTAGACTTCCTCTTTATAATAATGACCATTTGTCAGTTGTTAGTTTTTGGAATCGACTAATAATTTGGCAGGTCTTTATGTCTATCTCTTCATAAGCATTTAATCACTTCCTGTTGTTTTCTGATCCCTGTATCACTGCACATCTCAAATATGATAAAGTTTCCAGCAATTCTGGCAGACAACAATTAGCAACAGTCTAAAATTTAGATGTAAAAGTAACAACTAAAAAGTAGCAAATGAGCAGAATGTATCAAGAAAATTATACAACAATTAATGTTATTTTCTGTCTGCAGCATCCACTGATGAACTCTGGATTGGACTAAATGACAGGAAGAGAGAGAGGCTGTTTGTCTGGAGTGATCATTCTCCTGTGAGTTACACTAGCTGGGACTCTCGGGAACCAACTGTCACCTCTGAACAAGAAGACTGTGTTCTGATCAGAGGGGAGGTAAGGTGCACAGTGTGGGAGTGATTATTGATGATTATGACACACCAGTGTTTTTCTGTAAAACTATGCAATTCTGTTAAAGAACACTCTCTCTAAACCTATGCAGCTATGTATCACACCTTACTTCACAACATACAGTATACACATATTGGCCAAAGTAAATTTCAAAACCTTTGCCACATGTTTAGTCTGGGACCTGTCTTTAAATCTCTTCTATGCACATATGTATATAAGCACATATTTCCACTATATTCTAACAGTGTGAGAAATGTATTGTTTCAACATCATAAACATAAAAAAGGAAACGTTATGCAGGAACTTCTTGTAGGATTGTTAGGAAGGCAATTTAAATCAGTTTCACAGCAAAAAGATGATTTAGCACTCTCTGGAAGCTGCCCTGCTACTGCTCAGCCTGCTAGTAGATGAACCTATGGTATGAATTTGAAAGTCCTATGTTACTTCCTCTTTGAGTTATCGCATTCACATGATTTTTGAAACAAACAAAAGAAATACAATAAAAAAATAAAAACCCAGTCATATCAAAGAGTATGAGGCTTTTGTTTTATGATATGCACCGTAGCCTGTCTATCTCTTGTTAATTTCAGTTTCCACATATATTTTGTTCTTTTCATTCTTGCAGAATGGAAACTGGGCTGACCGTGTGTGTGACGAGAAACATGGCTTTATCTGCATGAAGACAAGTGACTCTGAACCCTCTGGAGATGAAGTGGAGCTGAACGCAGGCTGCAAAACTGTATGTGAACCTTTCATATATTTTCCAAAGAATGTCTGCATCTGGTTGGTCGAATGCACACATTCTGTTATCTGTTTCTGTTTTGTAAAGGCTGTTGTATATTTCAAATGGCACAATGTCTAAAGCTACTTTTGTGCCTGTGGTCCAAGAAATAGCTGGGAAACCAGCATACACGTGGGATATGATACCTAATCAAATAATTGTATTTGGATGTTGTTTATAGGAAAAACAATTAAGGAAAAAAAAGCAGGCAGATTCTCTTGATTAAATTAGCACGTGGAGTGAGTGGAGTAAGCTATCTCAGGATAATACAAAGTATTATCAAACTTTAAATTGTACATTTAAAATTTTACCCTAGTCTTAAAGTGTATATTTATTTTTTACTCTTCTTATATTTATTTTTGTGTTTTGCACTGAATGTAACTGGAGTCGTCTCGTCTCGCTATATACTGTTCTGTATATAGCAGAGATGAAAATAAAGTTTACTTTGACTTTGAAGTAGTCACACTGATGCAGAGTGATTCTGCATGTGGGGTCTTTCTTCTTGCTATCACAAAAAGATATGTACACAAAGACAGCATTTAACGACAGGCTTGAATAGTTCCTCAACTGTTGTTTCTCTGCGATGCAGGGTTGGAAAAGACATGGATCCTACTGCTACTTTGTAGGGACTGAGACAAAGACGTTTCATGAAGCCAATGATGACTGCAAGAGCTCAAACTCTTATTTAGCTGACGTTTCAACTGGGTAAAAAAAAGTTTTTATGATTCCTAAAATTTTTACCATAAAAAAGGGTAATATACAGTGGTGTAAAAAGTGTTTTCCCCCTTCTGATTTCTCTTGTTAAATCACGAATTAACTGTGATTAACCACATTTTTTGTAAAGTTGTGTTCAGTTTCACTAAACACACTCATGCCTGATTACCGGCAGATCTGTTGAACAAAGAAATCACTTAAATAGAACCTGTCTGACAAAGTGAAGCAGGCTAAAATATCTCAAAAAGCAACACACCATACCACAATCTAAAGAAACACCTGAGAAATAAGTTCACTAACATCTGTCAGTCTGGTAAAGGAAAAGGTTTCAAAGCCATTTCTAATCTAATCCATTTCTGATCTAAAACACACCAAAAGTCCACCTTTTAATGGTTTAAGAAAAACAAATTAAAACTGTTGAGTCATGACCTAAATCCAATTCAGATGCTGTGGGATGATGTTAAAAAGATGGTTCATGCTTGAAAACCCTCCAATGTGGCTGAATTACACCAATTCTGCAAAGGCAAGTGGGTGAGAATTTCTCTACAGAGCTGTGAAACACTCATTGCCAGTTATCGCAAAAGCTTGATTGCAGTTGTGTCACGGTCCTGGGTCGGTGACCCAGTGTTTTTGGTTTTGTACTTTTACTTTTGAATTTACGAAGTATGACTGTTTGTTTTGGTTTCTGTCCTAGTATTTCAGGTTTCTAGTTTGGTAGTACTTCCTGAGTTCTTGTTTTTAGGTTTTGTTATTTGGTTTCCCAGTGTTTATTCTGTGCTCCCTCTTCTCTGTGTTCCTTCTGTCTGTCCATGGTGTTATTTTGTCTGCTCATGAGTCTGCGTCTGTTAAATTCTGTGTCTCGTCTGGATCTCTCTGTCTGTCGTGTACTTCCTGTTTACTTTGTAGGTCTGTGCCTTATGTCTGTGGGTTCAGCTTTGTGCTCTCCCTGTCTCGTCAGTGTAATCAGCATCAGCTGTGTCTCCCAGCTGTTTCCTCTTAGCGCTGTTCACCTCTTGTATTTAGTGTCTGCGTCTTCCCTGCTAGTTGTCGTGTTCTACCCTCACTTTCACTCTGTGTTCTGTTTGCCAGCCTGCCCACCTGTTTAGTTTGTTCAGTATTCACAGTTTAGTTAGTTTTTTGTTCAGTTTCTTCCCAGCAATAAAGCTGAGTATTTTGAGTTACTTCTGTCTCTGTGAGTGCTGCATTTTGGGTCCTCTCTTCCTGCCTGCCTGCACAAAGCCATGACAAGTTGTTTCTGCTAAGCGTGGCCCAACTACTTAATAGGGGCAATCACTTTTTCACACAGTAGGTTTGGATTTTTCTCCTTAATAATAAACACCTTCATTTTAAACTGTATTTTATGTTCACTTGTGTTGTCTTTGCCAAATATTAAAATTTGTTTGATGATTTGCAACATTTAAGTGTGGGAAAAATATTAAGCAAATCATCAAGGGGATAATCACTTTTTCACACCAATGTATCAAGTTGCAGGCAGTCTATAATCTAACTTGTGTAAATATTTCCAGGGTGGATAATACTTTCCTTGTAAGCTTGGTGGGGCTGAGGCCAGAGAAACACTTCTGGATAGGTCTCTCAAACCTGAAAAACAGAGAATATTTTATGTGGACCAACAATGCCTACGCGAGATATACTCACTGGAACACTCATATGCCAGGTAATGAAACAATCTCATGATCTATATGTAAACTATAGTTGGCAGGTGTCTTCACAAATGACAGCTAACATTTTCTTTTATAACACAAGGTAACGTGCAGGGTTGTGTTGCTATGGCAACTGGGCATTCTGCTGGCCTTTGGGATGTGTTGCCCTGTACCAATAAGGAAAAATACATCTGCAAACACCTGGCAGAAGGGGCAGCTTTAACCCCAGCTCCACCAACCACTGCCACACCTAACTGCACAGATGGATGGATTAAGATGCAATCCAGAGGCATCTGTTATAAGGTGCAGCATGTCTCTCTCTCTCTCTCTCCCTATGTGTGTGTATATAATTCTATTGAACTTATTCATAATAGGGATGACATAAAAACAGAGATGGCTGCCCAAGTTTAGTATATAGTTTTAAATGTACAAATATTACCAAAGCTTCAGATCACAATTCAGTTTCTTATATTTTGTTTAAGATCTTTCCAGAGGCTTCAGAAAAGAGAAAGACCTGGTACGAGGCTAGAGATTACTGCAGAGCCATTGGAGGAGACCTAGTCAGCATTCACAGCGGTGCTGATTTACTACGGACATACAATAACATCTACAATCATTGGTATAGTGTTTTCTGGTCTACAGTTAGAGCTACATAAGATGAAAATGTTTTGTATAGATTTTTATCATTACAAAAGATTAAAAATACAGTATTTTTTATATATACAATGTAATTAATTACTGATGTAGAAGCCACCCCCATTTTATCCTCAATGATTGTTCAATGATGGTCATATTTTTGCAGACTAGTGCACCATTCCTCCAGAGAGTGCTAAATCAAGTATTAAACTTTGGAACATACATTTGTCCATTATAGGCCTAATCAATACTGGATTGGACTTAGTGCTCCTGACCCAGACACAGGTTATGTATGGAGTGATAGATCCCCGGTGAGTTTACAGTTTTTAACTCTCTACAATGGTTTATGTAGCCTAAATGATGATAACGATCAAGATGATGATTATTAACATTAATAATGTTACAGCTACTATTACAACTGATACAAATACTACTACTATTAATAATTATCTTGTTTTTGTATAAAGGTAAACTTCCAAGACTGGAAAGATGGAGAACCAAACAATAAAAATAACGCTGAATTGTGTGTTGAAGTAGAACGCGTGTATTGGGATAACATTTTGCTTTGGAGTGATGTGCCCTGTGAGAAGTACAATAACTGGATTTGTCAGATCCACGCAGGTAAAGCATGGTCACAGTTCTAAAATTCCTTTGCAACATATTTTTGAACTAGACATTTATTGTTGTCGGCCTCATGTATTCTCACAATGTCAAGCTGGAGGTGGTCACTAGTAATTCAACACTATTTTGTTTTTATACCTTTACAGGAGTCACCCCAAAGCCGGCTCCAGACCCTGTCACCCCTGGTATGTTGAGGAATTTGACCACATTGGCGGTCAGCATCTTTACATGACTTTTGACTTTCTATTATGATTACCAGGCCATGAGGCATACTATGCTGACACGAAACTAATGGATGCTGATTTACTGCATGGCGAATATCTGTGACCAAACAGTAATATTAATTTTGTTTTTCTTGTAGAATGCCATGTAGAATTATATATGATAACTCATATAATACATTTTTTATGTAACCCAACAACAAATCCAGAATATAAATAGGAACCTAAAGTTGCTCTTCTGAAGTCTCGTAAGATAATGAGATATTGGTTAAAAAAACAAAAAAACAAAACATCTGTTTACCTGATTGATACAGTATGAGTATAAAACTTACAGTGAAGAAAGTGAACTATGTAGTGTGAGCATAAGATCAAAAACATGCAGATTTTTTTACTTAAAAAATTGTTCACTTTAAAATCTGCTCATCAGCTATATTTACAGTGGGTTTTTTTTTCCTAACATAGTACTAGTTTCCTAAATTAACCAGAGAACCACACACATGCACATTTCTTATCTATTCTCAGAGTATAACACGACCTCTGATGGGTGGCTAGAATGGAATGGGGCTCAGTATTACATTAACGAAAAGGCAATGGCCATGGAGGACGCTCGTACGTTCTGCAGACAGAGGCATGGTGACCTGGTATCTATCAACAGTGAAGCAGAAAGGATATTTTTATGGAAACAGGTAGGCAATGGCATTTGTAAAAGATTTACCAAGGCAATGGGTAAGGTGTAACTGAACAAACTGAAACTTCCACACAGACAGTTTTACTATGCATCCATGCTTTTGTGCAGATTTCAACAGGTTATCAGAATTCTTGGATTGGCCTATCTGTAGATCTTGATGGAACATTTCAGTGAGTATGAATTGATTTATAAAATTTAAATGCAACAAAATAAACTTAAATTTATGTGACACCATGTTAAAAATAGAGAGTACTTAGTGCAAGGCAGCATGCCAGATGTACGAGTATACCAGTTTTAATTTCATTTAATCATATCTTGATTGTTTGATATAAAATCTGATGGCTAGTATACAGAGACAAAATTACCTATTAACTACCTAAATACATATTAACTGTAAATTGTGGTTAATTTACATTTCTGTTTGTGATCTTTAACTTTTAATTAATATTTGTAAAATGAATCAGTTACTATTCCAGTTTGCTATCTTTCTTACTAACTTAATTCAGGTACTATAACTAAAACCAAAAAACTGTGACTAAAAGGAAGAAGGCAAAGAGTACTTTTACTTAAACCAGTATGTGACTGTGTTGGTAATATAAGTTTTTACAGACATATTTAAACCATGTGTCTTTTTACATTAAGGTGGATGGATGGTTCTCAAGTGGTGTTTCAAAGGTGGGATGAAAATCAACCTGAATTCAAGAACTTTGATGAAAACTGTGCTGTCATGACACATCATAATGGTGAGTGTACCGAAATAATAACAAGAAGAGCCCATAGAGAGTTTTTAGAGCACCTCTACAACCATGTATTCTGATCATGATTCTGCTTATTACATAAACTACAAGAACTGATAGCTGGCTTGTGTGATATCAAAACTGATTAAAGATAGAGTTGATTTGATTTTTTTAAAATCTATCATTCGAGTTGATTATATGATTAATTTACTATACTCAAATGGCTAGCAGGATTCTGGCATGACTCCAACTGTGGGCTAGAGTATATGTCCTTTTGTAAGCGCAGCAGCTCAACACCCACAAACACCACTGCTGCAGTGCCTACAGTGTCCCCAAAAGGTGGATGTCCACCCCCTTGGAAAAAATTTAACTCTAAGGTCAGATATCTTTCATGTCTTTTAATTTTTCTGTTATTTACTGTTGAAGGGATATGTTCTCAGTGCTTGGAACACTATATTGATCTTTTTCATGTTTCAATTTTAGTGTTACATAATTTTTAAGAATCAGAATTTAACGTGGCAAGATGCAAGGGAAAAATGCAAACAAAAAGGTGGACAATTGGCATCTATTACTTCAAGACAGGTGGAAGGTTTGTTTCATTTTCATTTTACTCAAATATGTATTTAGATCCTGTGAACTTCTCCTCTTATGTGGTCCATTTACTGCCATTGCAGATATCTGTTCTTAGTAGCTAAAATTACCACTGAATTTCTGTTGTTGTGCAGTTCTGGCATATCTACAAGTTAGAACTGATACCACGGTGCACTTTAGCAAGAAAATACAAACATGAATCAATTTTATTGAAAAGTTCCATTTTGGTCTCATCTGACCAGAGCACCTTCTTCCACATGTTTGCTGTGTCCCCCACATAGCTTGTGGCAAACTGCAAACGGGACTTCTTATGGTTTTCTTTAAATAATGGCTTTCTTCTTGCCACTCTTCCATAAAGGCCAACTTTGTGCAGTGCACGACTAATAGTTGTCCTATGGACAGATTCCCCCACCTGAGCTGTAGATCTCTGCAGCTCGTCCAGAGTCACCATGGGCCTCTTGGCTGCATTTCTGATCAGGGCTCGCCTTGTTCGGCCTGTGAGTTTAGGTGGACGGCCTTGTCTTGGTAGGTTTACAGTTGTGCCATACTCCTTCCATTTCTGAATGATCGCTTGAACAGTGCTCTGTGGGATGTTCAAGGCTTGGGAAATATTTTTGTAGCCTAAGCCTGCTTTAAATTTCTCAATAACTTTATCCCTGACCTGTCTGGTGTGTCCTTTGGATTTCATGGTGTTGTTGCTCCCAATATTCTCTTAGACAACCTCTGAGGCCGTCACAGAGCAGCTGTATTTGTACTGACATTAGATTACACACAGGTGCACTCTATTTAGTCATTAACACTCATCAGGCAATGTCTATGGGCAACTGACTGCACTCAGACCAAAGGGGGCTGAATAATTACACACACCCCACTTTGCACTTATTTATTTGTAAAAAATGTTTGGAATCATGTATGATTTTCATTCCACTTCTCACGTGTACACCACTTTGTGTTGGTCTTTCACATGGAATTCCCATAAAATTGATTCATGTTTGTGGCTGTAATGTGACAAAATGTGGAAAAGTTCAAGGGGGCCGAATACTTTTGCAAGCCACTGTATCTCAACCATAAATCTCTGTCTACATTTTCAGTGTTTCTACTGTCTCAAATGGTTGATGCACCTACTACAGACTTGTGGATTGGTTTATTTAGGTCACAGTGGAAAACTTACTGGACTGATGGACAACCAAAGTCATATACCAATTTGGGTAATAATGTACGTGGGATAATCTAAATATATACATTAACTAATGAATAATTAAATGAATGAATTATAATAATAAATTATTGTGTTTCTCTCTCTGAGAAAACATTATACTCATTAAAATGAACAACCATAACTATATGTGCAACCTCTGTAGGGTCCAGGTATGGCCTCATGCTACCAGTAGTGACACTAACTCTAGTCAATGACAAAACTAGTGAAAAAACAAAGAGAAAGATGAGCAGGGAAAAAAATGTGAGGGTAAACCATTCTCATTTTGGAGGGTGTCTCACTGTTGCCTCACGAGTGCACCTGTTGATAATGTTATTAACAGCAAATCAGCTGAAACCAATTAACAGCCTTCTCTGCTTATTAAATGATCAGTATCCCAGAACTTACACTGACTCGATGCTATACTTTGTTTAAAAAGTGTTTCTTTAACTTTGAGCAGTGTACTTGCACCATGTAGATACAGAATATAATTACCTATTGTGAAGGGTCAGATACTTAGAAATAATCTATTACTGTATATTCTTGTATAAATATTTAAAATCTCTGTGTTTACATTGCAGCGTTGGTATTGGTACGATCAAATGGTAAGTAGTTTTTAAAACTTATTTGTAAAGTGCAGTGACACTTTATGGCATGACAGTTTACAGTTCTTGTTGTATTTTACAAGTTCTACAGTGACAGAACTACTATTTAATTATTTATCTGTTATTTATATAGCTATATATTATGCAAGGGCACTCAAATGTTTGCATGTTTAAATAAAATAAGAAAGAAAACTTTCCTAATATAATCTGCTCTGATGATTAGACAGTAACCAATAATACAGTATATTGTATGTGGAAGTATATGTAAATTCCCTGTGTCACCACATAGCATCATTCTGTTGACCCAACTCTGTTTCCACAGAAAAACTGTTTTGTGATCAATACCAAGCCTTTGGTTGGTATTGGGAAATGGAGTCAAAAGTCATGCAATGACACCAGTGGATTTATCTGTCATCGAAATCTTGGTGAGTCCATTTCTAACCCCAGGCCTGTTGCCACCCAACTTCAGCTGCAGCTTCATCAGACTCTCTAAAACAACTAAAAATATGTTTTGACTTTTTTAGTCCTATAATTAATATCTATATCTATAAGTGATATATAAAATCTATGATCAAGAGTATGATTCCACATTGACAAAAGCTGTAATAGTTTTAAGAGTACCGTAGAGAGGTTTGTTATGTAAAAAAAAAAGTCAATAAATAAAATAGTTTCTATTCTAATCCTCAACAGACACATCTCACCCAGATTCTCCAGAACCAACAATTTCTACTAACTACATCAAAATACTCAATGATTCCATTAAGGTTGTTCCTCAACAAATGAATTGGGATAAAGCTGCAGAGTACTGTAAAAATGACGATGCCCTCCTAGCTAGCCTGAGGAATGAGTGGATGCAAGCTTATGTTGAGCTCATGGCGCTGAATCTCAAGGCTCCTCTTTGGTTTGGATTACACAAAGTGCAGGTAAACTTATAAAAACCTATAAAAAGTACATAGCTCAATAATAGGTCAACCAGTTTGAAACTGACTCTGGTAAAAATTCTAAAACTTACCTATGGGTACAATAAATTGTTCCAACAAAGATTTTATCTAACTAAATAATCTGTGATTATGAGAATGAAATTGTCATTGATGGATAAATATACTGGTCCAGTTATTTATCCACTCATTCAGTTATTTATCCAGCACAATTTTTGCATGATAAATTTGAACTGAGATTGTGATCCATCCTCTTCTTATTATCCAATATAAGGATGTTGGAGGATGGAGCCAGCCTCAGCTGACATTTCTTATTAAAAGTCTAGAGCTAGCTGATGTTGTGATTCCGTTCTAGCTAGAAATGCACCACACAAATGGGATGGTTTTCAGTTTTTTGGCCGCAATAATAGTCCGTTAATGTAATAGTGACCAGTATTAACCTGTTACCTAATGTCAGCTAAATCTAGCCATCCCTTTTGACAATAAATCTTCCAGCATTAGGCAAACACATTTGAAGTTACTGTGTGTTTACATTCTGTACTCTCAATCATGGTTGGAAATGGCTGACTGTTATAAAGCACTGGCTAACTTGACTACATTTAAGGAAGGTACCAATAAATGTGATGTAAAGAAGCAGTTGCACGTAACACCAACAAACTCAAGAACACTCTTAAATTCGGCATTCATTAAATAAGCAGTGTGGCAGTGCAGCATCCCTGCTCCAGCAGGGAGATTCTCTGTGAGAGGAAGGCATGTTGAGCAACAGCACCTCTTAGAGTAACTGCATGTCTCTTTGGATTCTCCTCCGTGCTCTTGAGACTGAGCTGGGAGACACAGCAAACCTTCTGGAAATGGCACATATTGATGTGCCATCCTGAAGGAGCTGGACTACCTATGCAACCTCTGTAGGATTTTTTTTTAAGCAGTATAGATCACCATGCTAGTTTAATTCAACTGTTTTAACAGAAAGAAATCTCTTTTTATTGACTGTTTTACCCTCCATACCGTTAAGCTTACTAAGGCAGATATTCCTGAAAGCCAGAAAATATCGGTAACTGCTGTCTCATTAATCTTTGCTTTCAGATCAATGGTTCTTTCAGATATGTTGATGGATGGCATTTAATATTCAGTCGATGGGGTACAAATGAACCAAGAAAGGACAGAAGCTGTGTATACATGGATGTGGATGGAAAATGGAAAACCGCTCACTGTAATGAGACACTAATGAGTGTTTGCATGAAGTCTACAGGTACGACCAAACACACGCACAGTTTGAAAGATACTGTTTTGACAACACAGTTTTAAAAGAATGTAATTAATTGATCCCATTGACATTACCTCATTCACAGATGTGCTGCCAACAGAGTCAACCATTTTTCCAGGAGTTTGCCCTCAAGACCCAGAGGCAACAATAGAAAACAAGAACTATATCTGGGTACCATTCAGGGGTTATTGTTATATTTTTATTACAGAGCAAACACACTGGAGAGAAGCATCCACCACCTGTGTAGCACATGGTAGGCAACCTATGTGAAAGACACGTTTATGCAATAAATTGCTGTAGTTTTCATTAACAACTGATTTGTTTTGTTAAGGTGGAATGCTTGCCAGCATTGAAGATTCCTCTGAGCAAAAATTTCTAGAAATTAACCTGAGAACTTTTCAAGATGGCTTCACATCTTTCTGGATTGGCCTGTTTAAAAAAACAACACAAAGGTGATTTATTATTTTTGCTATGTTCTTTAAAAATATTATTTTGGGAAAAAAAATTACATTTTTACATCTCTTTTTTTTGTCTATTTGCCTGCAGAGGAATGGCTCTGGGTGGACAGAACAGCCATGGGTTACACTAACTGGGCTGAAGGTCAACCTTTTAATATGAGCTTTGGATCGCGCACAGGAGAGATTAGTACATCAGATGGGACATGGAAGGATATCGAAATATGGGATTATAGACCTTACATCTGCAAGACACCAAAAGGTAAAGTAATCTTTATTTATTGCAGTGTTTTTCTTTTTTTCCTTTTTATAATGCTGATTCAAATCAGTTGTAAGACTTTGACTGCATACATAACACAGTCATATGAATCCAAAAGCTGAAAGAAATACCTCTTGTGGGTCAGAATCTTGAGTGCACAGTCAAAATTAGATCCATTTATAAATGCCTGTTTACTCCACAAGAATCTTGAACAATTTATTTTTACTTTGAAATGAAGTAGAGCTACTTTTTTTAAAAAAAAAGTATCTTATTTGTTCTTCTTTTTCTTTTGCAGTATTACTACCAACGCCATCACCACCAGCCCGTAAGTAACACCTCTTTTATCTATTTATTTTATGTAAAATTGTTACAAATGTTTTTTTTTAGCTGATTACCATCTACTTTTTCACTCTGTACAGAAACTGGATTACCTCATCATCAGCGTGTCTATATAACCACTGCAGTTGTGTTAGTCATTACTGGGATTGCAGTGGTGGCAGTCACTGCTGTCTTCATCTTTAAGAAATTTGGTCATCAGTTACCCGCCCCTAACACCTTCGATAACCCGCTCTTCTTCAGTAGTAGGGTGTCACAGCCTGAGCAAGCTGACACCAGTATACTAGTAGAGAATGCAGCAGAAGAGAACACTGGAGATTTAATCAGTATGTAATTTAAATATTTTGGGCTCATTTGCATGGCCCATATGATTTCCTAGTATGTTATAAAAATTTGAGCTGAGGTGGCAGCAAGTAGCAAATAATGGCTTACTGGAAAATAAAAGGTGAGAATCATCTCATATTATCATATTCTGTGAATGTAGGTTACATAAATGCTAGCTTTTGTTATTTCAGTTATGGTTAGGATAAAAGGTAGGGTAAATGGAGTTTAATGCATGTCCTAGTCAACAATCATATATGCATGCAGCAACCTGAAATATCAAGACAAATCAGGAAGGATCCATGGTTTCATGTTGCTGAAATCAGATTCTAACCATACCATCCAAATTTCACAACAAGAGCTCAGACTCACCAGACCAGGCAACATTTTTCTTCTATTGTGCAAGCTGACAGGCTGCTGTAGTCCATCTGCTTCAAGGCTTTACATGTTATACATTCAGAAATTATTTGAGTTACTCTTGCCTTCCTGTCAAGTTGTAGTAGCATCATCATTCTCCACTGACCTCTTACATCAATGAGGCATTATCATCCACAGAACTGCAGCTCACTGGATATTTTCTCTTTTTCAGACCATTCTCTATAAATCCTAGAGATGGTTGTGTGGAAAATTCCAGTAGATCACCAGTTCTTAAATATTCAGACTATATACACTACCGGCCAAAAGTTTTAGAATACCCCAATTTTTCAAGTTCTTTATTGCAATTAAATTTGTTCAAGTCCAATATATAGCTTGAAATGGTACAAAGGCAAGTAATGAACTGCCAGAGGTTAGAAAAAATGTAAGGTTAACCAGAACTGAAAAATAATAAACATTTCAGAATTATACAAACAGGCTTTTTTCAACGAAGACAAAATGAGTCAACAATTTAAAGCTGTTCTGCAGCAATGGAGGTTGACCCAGCCTTGAAAGCTACTACTAATTCCTACAGGTGTTCCAACTTTTCTGCATTACTTACAACCCTTTCTGTCTCAGTGTTGCAATACACTGTGGTACCTACCAACTGAGCATCGGTTGAACAGTATTGTACTGCAGAAAGTAGTGTGTTGCTAAAGAAAATGGCAAGAAAAAGGCAATTAACAATGGAAGAGAGACAGACCATCATAACACATAAAAATGTAAATTTTCCTACAGAAAATTGCAAAAAAAAAAGTCAAAATGTCAGTTAGTGGCTATCCATTTAACCATTTGCACTTGCTTATCCAGTTTAGGGTTGGGGGTGGTCTAGAGGCAAGGTACAACCTGGGCAGATTAACAGTCTGTCCCACAGTAGTGGCTATAGCTGTCAAAAATGGTATTGAGCATTTTTCTGAGTTTCTGCATCAACTTGTAAATTCTAACATTGGAACATTTGGAATTTTTGTATGCTTTTGTAGCTTTGTTGTTTGCTGTGGACTTGCTCAACCTGCTGAATTAAAGTTTTGTTCTGTTTAACCTGTCTACCTTCTTTGTCTGTGATTCATGACAATAAGTTGACACAAGTTGTATTCATATCATCATGATTCATGCTTAATAAAACAAGCAAGTAAGACCTATTCAGTTTGAAAAAACAGGCAATAATATTCACATGAAACCTGCAAATTTCTCTTACTGTCACTCTTACCCAGCTATTTTGTCTACTAAGCAGTTTATAATTTGACGTCTCAGCTGCTAAATTTTTGGATTTCTTCCTCTTCGTTAGGGTTCATTTCTCAGAGTTCCACTACCCACTTCCTCTTAACTAGGGCCTCTAAACAGTGTTTCAATTTTTAATTAGCCACTATGCTGTAGAAGATAAATAACTGTAATTGGCTGTGTCTGTGAAGGTTCTCAGTCATCCAGGTCATCGTAGTCTAAGGAGCTTGGAAAGAAAAGCGTCTGGACTTCTTTGAGTTGCTTGAAGACATTTCACCTCTCATCCAAGAAGCTTCTTCAGTTCTAAGGTCAAATGATGGAGAGTCCCAGATTTAAACCCAGTGGGAGTTTCCCCCCAAAAGAGGGACAAAGGACCCCCTGATGATCCTTTACCTAATCACATGAGCCAAGGTGTGAAAGCAGGTGTGGGTCCCAATCAGCGAGGGTTTCGGGTGAGCTCATTGTGAAACCTGGCCCCACCCTATCATGTGATTTCCTGAGGTCAGATGGCCCAGGATTTGAGTGGGCGTTAAGGCGTCTGGGAAGGGATCTCAAAACTGGATTATAGATGGCAGACAGATGGTGTCGTAAACCACCGCCTCTGTTCAAAGATGGTTGCTCACAGTGGACGTGGGACTCTCCACCATTTGACCCTTAGAACTGAAGAAGCTTCTCAGATGAGAGGCGAAACGTCTTCAAGCAACTCAAAGAAGTCCAGACGCTTTTCTTTCCAAGCTCCTTAGACTGTAATTGGCTGTCATCAGATATGTGTGCTTAAATTACCATTTCAAAAGAAAAAATAATCTATTACCTTAATAAAACCACTCTCCAGCCATGCAGACAATTCCTCTACTCTCTTTGCAAGCCAAGGCTTACATTGTGTGTTTTCTCCTCAACGTAACACTGATTCATCAGCTATACTCAATGTTGAGTTTTAATAATAATAAAGCTTTAATTGTATTGCACGTATCAAAACTGTTAATGTAAAGTGCATAAGAAAAGCACATGTACATCCATCATATAGGTGGGGGCAAAGACTAAACAGGATAAATGATAAAAACCGGTGAATCAGTTTAACAGAACCAGTGCATCCATGGAAAGTCCACTGAGTTCTTTCAAGCATTCACAGAAGGATATCATAACTTCCTCAGTGTGGTTGTTGCAACATAATTGTAACTGTAATTCTAGCACTTCCTGTTTCACACACTGATTTGTTTATTACTCAGTTTCAATCACGTAGTAATTTGTGTAATACTGGAAGTCGACAAGGCCCTCCTTGTTCCTCTGAGACAGAACAAATAATACTCTTAGGACTGGTGGTCAACAGTCATTCACACAAGCCTTAAACACTTTGCAAGAAATGCATGTATAAAGTTTTCTAATACAAATTGCAGGAATACTAACAATGAGGATAACTTGTAAAATCTTTGTGATCCTCATCCAAACATTTTATTGTTTGGCTTCAGATGGTACAGTAATCCAACTTTTAATTTTAATCTTTTGTCAGATTTTATTGATTTCCTCTGCTCTGTGTTTTTAAAACGAGCATGTTATCCTGTAAATTTATGTCAGCATATCATTTGGCTCTTCTTGTCAGCAAGAAGAGTGAAATGATTCAGAGTCAATGAGGCACCAAAAGCAATCCCAGTCATGGAAATGAAGTGAATTTATATCAATTATTTTTCAACAGACTCACCATTTCAGCTAACTAACAGGGGCACTGGTTTTTGTTTGATAAAAACGAATAACCACTGCAATGACATTCGCTGGACAACTGGTGATCGACTACTGGTTCTGCAGAGAAACAAGTGCCTGGGTGTCCAGGGAAAAAGTGTGGGCAGTGAAGTAAACCTCTACGATTGCGATGAAGCCAGTGAACTCCAAAAGTGGGAATGCATGAACGAAACAGTGCTCGCTCTCAAAGGCCAGGAGCTTTACATTGAGCTCACTGCAGATAACACAGCCATTCTCTCCAGGACAACAGGACCAAATAACCATCTCACAATTTCTGGAACATCCAGTGGTGCCTGCACAAGAACTTATAGAGGTATTGTGCCATGTGAAAAAGAGTACAATGCAATTTTTCTTAGATAAGAGGGTTGTATTAAATGGATGCACAGGTTTCTACCTAGCTTCATGTCTTAAAGCTGTTTGTGATAAATGTGTTTTACAGTCTTTGTTTTGTTCGTTTGTTTATTTGACCTTTTAGAGCTTTTTACCATCGGTGGAAATGCAGCGGGAAGGCCGTGTATGTTTCCCTTTCTATACAAAACTCAGTGGTATTCAGACTGTACTAAATTTGACTCCTCGGAAAAGCGTCTTTGGTGTGCAGTTGAAACAAACTATCAAAGCGAACGCTGGGGGTACTGCCCAACTATGTGAGTAATGAAACCAATTGAAGGAAATAATTGAACCATTAGGACCTACAATTATTTTTCAGAGCTCTTACAAGGATTAACTGATTTATTATATACTTTTAACTTAAGTCAACTCCCATAGCTGAACAGAGGCAAAAAAATCAACATTAAGTTAGAGCAGTAAAGTATTACCTTTACTATTGCACCAGTGTTGTTGAAGACTGGGGCCAGAATTGGCCTGGGAAAGACTCCAAAACAACCCACTGGAAGACTCTGGAAAATATGAAGAAGTGCATAGACTTTAAACTTTTAACTGTATTTTGATAAGTTCTGCTGCTTTTCTTATATTCCCAGTTTTCCTTGATCATGACTCAATCACTATTTCTATTCATACTACAACAAAGTCGTTAAATTATAGAAAAACAATTAAATGACAGAAAAGCTGTTCCCCCCCCCCCCAAAAAAGATAATTTTTCTATAATATTTGAATTGCATTGAAGGAAAGTTGAGTTTCACTGGTTAGGCCCACTAAAGATTAAAGTTACCCATGATCTAAAATGAGTTTGACTTATAAACATATATGCATTTTGTATATACAGCCAAGGAAGACTGGAATATGCACCCAACAACGGGAGCGTATTACCAGCTTAACATACAGTCAGCTTTGACTTGGCACCAGGCACAAGTCAGCTGCAAACAGCAGGGAGCTTCCCTTCTCAGCATCGATGATCCTCACGAGCAGGCTTATATCACAGGTAATGTGCCTCGGACACACTGAAAAAGTGATCATGTATTTATGTGCATACTTTAACTCCTGTAAAGTATATGTATCCAAACATAGTATTTTATTCTATTTTATATAGTATATTGTTCTTTTTATCTTATTCTATTCCATTGTTTTTCTTGACTGTTGCTCCCTGTAACTTTGCACTGTCCACTTTCTGTTGTGACTCAACAAATTTCACACGTGTGACTAATCAGAGTTTATCTTATCTTTTCTTATCTCTTATCTTTGTGTTATGAATTACATGATTTTCCCCCCATCATTTAAAAAAAAGAACATTAACACTAGTTTTGATTATTGCTAAGATAAGATAAGATAACCTTTATTAGTCCCACGCGTGGGAAATTTGTTTTGTTACAGCAGTGGACAGTGCAAAGTTGCATAGAAAAATTAGAAGAAAAAAACACTGGAATAATATATCCATAAGATAATGTACACAATATACACTATAATACAACGATGCCAGAAAGAGTATTGCACTTAGTGTTATTGCTATTGCACATGTGTGGATGTGTGTGTTTGATCAGTTGAAGTCTTTGTTGTGGAGTCTGACAGCAGTGTGGAGGAAAGACCTGCAAAATCTCTCCGTCCCACATTGTGGGTGCCGCAGACTGCCACTGAAGGAGCTGCTCAGTGCTGTCAGAGTCTCCTGCGTGGGGTGGGAGATGTTGTCCAACAGGGATGATAGAGGTTACAATTAGAGATTTATTTAACGCAAAGTGAAAGACATTTTTTCTTTTTCATTTCTGTACTCAATGGCTCCAACAGCACTGCTATGGAAAGGGGGCAATACACTTTGGATTGGACTCATCCTAGATCCAGAACATGGCTGGAAATGGATAAATGGCAGGCCTTACCGTTACATGAAATGGGACTCAGGTGATATAATATATTCTAGCAGATTACTGGTAAAACAGCTGTTTAAGTTAGCATAAAGACATGAAAGAGGCAGAACAGCCTGACTCACTATGACAGCAACAATAAAACATATTAATAGAAAATATACAATTTGTTAACTGAAAAAAACTGAAATGCATCTGCAAAAAGAAAGATAGAAATTGGAGCCCCGGTATAAGACTGTTGTAGAGTTAACATGTAAAGTATATCTATCATCATGTTTAGGACATCCACTTCCTAATCCGGGATACAACTGTGCAGTTGTTGATCCTAGTGTACGGTACCTTTGGCAAAGTTTACCTTGTAGCAATAAACTGGGCTACATCTGCTACAGTAAAGAGGCTGAAGAAGCTCCTACACGAGGTAAATAAAAATATCTTTTTTTTTCTTCAGATTTTGGTTATAGCATAACTGAAATATTCCTTATTTTATTACTTTGTTATTTATGATCAGCTGGGACAGGTTTTTGTTCAAACCCCTGGATACACTACAATGGCCACTGCTTCCACAGGAATCAGGCTCAGAAAACATGGTCTGAGGCTCAGGTAGCTTGCCACCAGGATGGAGGAGACTTAGTGAGCATCCACAGTGTGGAGGACCAAAGCTTCATCATCTCTCAGCTTGGATATAGTATGTATGGATATTTATTTAAAAAAGGATCATTGTTAAGGAACAAATAATTAAAACAAAAAATCCCTGTAAATCCTCAGGTGCTGGTCTCTATTCCTTGAATCAATATTTTGACATCAGAAAAATATAAAGACCATTGAGGTTATTCAAAAGATTTACAACCATGAATAAAAACAAGCAAACTGTATGGAACATGTTTTCTAACATGCATGTAATCCAATTGTAGATTTGGAAAAATACAAAAATGTCCTTTTGTTTTTAACCAACGTCTGCAGCATCCACTGATCAGCTTTGGATTGGAATGAATGACAGGAAGACAGAGGGGTTATTTGACTGGTCTGACCACTCGACTGTCGCCTTCACCAGCTGGGAGTTTGGGAAACCAGCTGGGTCTTCTGAAATAAAAGACTGTGTTCTCATGCGTGGAGAGGTACGCAGCATCATCGAGTGCATACGGTGCACATAATCTACACTCACTGGCCACTTTATTAGGCAGTTTGGCAGCAACTCAGTGCATTTATAGGGAGCCGTTGAAGTTTAAACAGAGCATCAGAATGGAAAACAAAAATGATGATGAATGCTTTCAGCTTTGTCTACTTTGAGAAGACAACAGTAACTCAAATATTCAATAACCAATACAATACAACCTGAGGCTGTAGAGCATTTCCGAACACTAGGGATGGAAATAGATAATAATTTTGTGATTCAGATTCCATTATCAATATTACTCATTGATTTGATTACTTGTCGATTCTCTTATCAATTCTTTTCGGGTTCTCATTGGCTCTGCTTTGAGAGTCACCACCATTGCTGAGCAGTATATCAAAAACATTATAGTCATGCAAATTAAGTGCACACTGTGTGGTCAGATGTTTGTGCATGTTGGAGTTATTTCCCTTCTTTGTTCTGATCAGTGTAATCATCTTCTCATTACTTTTGTTACCTGTTGAAGCTCAGATTCTGCCTGCCGGATTGGGGTCAATCTGCTTTCTGTGCAGGTGTTTGCTAAGAGCGTGAGTTGTGTCAGGAGCGTTATACATTTTTTTCTGTCCCGGATGCAGTTTGCACTTCATCAGCGCGCTCTCTTTTGTGCAATAAATATAACAGTCCATAAGCACACTGTAGACTGTACCACTGTCTTTGTCTTCCAACATACTATACTGAACACACAATGCACAGCATATACAATAAATATTTACATTAACATATGACATTAAATTTGTAAAGTTTAAAAAATACCAATACCAGTACTTCCAGATCTACTTATGGTACTTTGTTACAGAATGGAAACTGGGCAGATCGTGTATGCGAGGAGCAACATGGCTTTATTTGTAAGAAGATGAGTGCCTTAAGACCATCTGGAGAGGAAGTGGAGCAAAACACAGGCTGCAAAAATGTGGGTATAATTATGAATTTGTTTAAAAAATAAACCATAAGAATTGTGAAGTTATTAGGTTGGGGTTGAGGTTGCATGAAATAATGATTATTTAATTAAATGAATATTGTTTCCTGCAAAATTTAAAGCTAAAGAATAATTTCGTACAATGAGACAATTAGGTGAAAGTTAGTGGACTGGGTTGCTTGAGCATGTTGACAGTCATTTTTAACATGACCAATGTTTGACAAATACTGTTGAACCTGTTCACTCATTTCAAGCTCCATATTATTACTCGTGGGAGCCCCACACAGCTGCTGGGTCATAATAAGAACTGACCATAACTGAGCTTTAAAAAAAAATCTCCTTTTCCTTGTCATTGTTAAAAATCTGAATCATTTACAGTGTTTCTTCATGATCTTCTTTTCCATCAAACCAGGGGTGGAGGAGACACGGCTCATACTGCTACTTTATAGGAATACAGACTAAAACATTTGATGAAGCTAAAGATGACTGTAAAGGTTCCCTTTCTTACTTAGCTGATGTTTCAAATGGGTAAGATTTGTTTTACATGTCTTTATTCCATATGTTTTGAGTGCACAAAACAAAATGTGAACGAAAAACAAACATAAATAATCACATCAACTTTTGAAGCTTTTTAAACGGCTGTACTCTTGAAATTATTTTCAGGGTGGATAATGCATTTCTTGTAAGCTTGGTGGGGATGCGACCAGAGAAACACTTTTGGCTGGGGCTTTCAAACCAGAAAAATACTGAAGAATTTGTATGGACCAACACAGACTCAGTGAGATTCACACACTGGAATGCTGAAATGCCAGGTATGGTGACACATTTAACTCCGTCAGTAAGACATTGCAGAACGTAGTCTCACAACTAAATTTTTTATTATTTCACTGACAATGAAAGGGAACAGACGGGGTTGTGTTGCGATGAAAACTGGGATTTTTGCTGGCCTCTGGGATGTGGTGCCCTGCACAAATAAGGAGAAATACATCTGTAAGCACCTAGCCGAGGGGGCAGTTTTAACCCCTCCACCACCCACTCTTTTCCCTCCTGAGTGTGCATCTGGCTGGACTCGCCTGGGGTTTAGTAACCAGTGTTTTAAGGTACAATCTCAAGGAAAAACTTAATTTGATCAGGTTGTCCTAACTCATACTAAAGACAAGATCATATACTTATATATGAAGGGTCATCAAAAAGTTCCCAGTATAGATCAATAAAAGTGATTTAAATGTGCTAAATCTTCCTTTTAAACCAGCTTCTATTTTCACATCACTTCATTGCAATCCTGTGATCTTCATTTGTGCTTGTAACTCTGCAGTGCAGTTGTGATACGCAACTTAATTTTACATTTTGCGAAGTGGACAATGTTCCAGCGAGGTAAAATTGGGAATGTTTCAAGTTGGCAAGCAAAGATTATGCTGGTACGGCCAAAGTGCCACTGTGTTTTTCAGTGCTCGCTATAGTAGTGTACGCTAGCATGCTAGCATACACCATGTTTCAGGCTACAGTTCAGGTAATTCTGGTCTTGCTCTTCACACGGCAGTCTGTCATTGTGGTTGGAAACTGTTGAGCTAAAACCTGCAGAAAACTGCTCAGTCATAGCAGCAGACCCAGCTCCCATCAGCTGTGTTGATCCTTTTGTAAGACATTTGCACCAATTTAAAACAGAAGTTGTTTTTTGCTGTTTGTGCAAGTTTAAGGTCTATGTTGAAACTGCAGAGAGCACAGTGTGTATGATCAGAACAGCACTTCCAGAAAACAATTTAAAAACAGCAGCCTGACAAAAATTTAATTGTGTAATATTTTTTAATGTTTAAGTCCAGTAACCTTTTGATCACCCCACGTGAATACAACATCTTAGCCTTTGTACAGTATATAAAAGTTCTGTGACCTTGACATTACCAAATCACACTGAGCATCTTTATGCCGGTTGGTGTTAAGTTGTTTGATAGGTATTCTACACAAAAGAAGACCTGGTTTGAAGCCAAAGATTACTGCAGGGCTATCGGAGGAGACCTGCTCAGCATCCACAGTTCTGTTGAGCTTCAGTCCGTACAACCTAGGTACAGTATAAAAGAAAATAGAACTAGTTGTTATAATAATAATAATAATATTAATAATAATAATAATAATAATAATAATTGCTAGAAAGTTCTTCCACAGATAACTAATGAGTTGGAAAATGTCTAACAATTATTTTTTAAGTTTATATCAATAATGTAAATTTCTATTACAGATTACAAGCAGCTTGGATTAGACTTAGTGCCCCAGATCCTGACACAGGTTATGTATGGAGCGACGGAACTCCAGTAAGTTGTTCATTTTTAAGCATTATTCAGAAGATGCAATTAAATAAACAACTTTTTTTCATTGTTTCCTTCTTTTTAAAGCTAAATTTCCAACAATGGAAGATTGGAGAGCCAAACAATAAAAATAATGTTGAGTCTTGTGTGGAAATGAAACCAGAGCGCACATTCAGAAGACAATCTTGGAGCGACATACACTGTGAGAAATACAGCAAATGGCTGTGCCAGATCCATGCAGGTGAAATTGCTAACCAAACACATTTATGCATTTGTTGAAGGTGAACTGAGTGAGAGTAACTTTCACACAATGTCTTCCTAAGATTTACTGTCCTCAGATTTTGGAGTAAACATCAAACTATTGATAAAATCTTTATTTGGAAGCTGATTTTGTGTACAGATTGGTTTGTTCCTATATGCACAATTTCTTGGTTTAGTACCCATGTTCTTGAACACTAGGATGCACAGTCATAAATCTTAACATATTCTCTGCTTAGAGCTGTGTTGTAGAATCTCGAGTTCTCTGTCCAGTGTACTGTTTTTAAATGATTTTATAACAATACAGGAATGACCCCAAATCCGCCTCCAGACCCCGTCACTCCAAGTAAGTCTGGCATTTTTTTCATCAAACCTGAAGAAAATCACCTTTATCTCCATTTTTTTTTTGTTCTTCTAAGCACAATAAAGCTTACAACTGTGGGTTAACTTTTTAAAACCTATAGCTGATCTGTTGTTCAGTCCACTAAATTTTCAACCACACAACCACTATGTCTTCCTAAAAAAACAGCAAATCAAAAAAACAACAGTTATAGTGAATATAATCTATATTGCAAGTTTTGATTTATTTCCAGGCTATAATAAAACATCAGATGGGTGGTTTGAATGGAACAGGAATCAGTATTATATTAACAGAAATCAGATGGGCATGGAAGATGCTCGTCTGTACTGCCAGCAGGGGCATAGTGACTTGGTAACTATCAGCAGTGAAGCTGAAAGGGTCTTTCTATGGAAACTGGTGAGCAGCAACATACTGTACTACACTACTAGCATCCATTTCCACAGAATTTAAGTTCAGGTCATGCTACAAGTTAAGTATTTCTGATTCAGCCTCCTTTCTACATATCTGGGCTAGATACAAGACACAGGTCATCGTCCTTACTGGATTGGCCTCATTGTAGATCTTGATGGAACATTTGCGTGAGTATAAAACAAATAATGTTTCTAAGTAAATTCCAAAAAGTTGATTCTGTTCATCTGTACGGAGCGTTTTCAGTGGGAGAAATGTCCAAGTTGCTTCTTCAGTCTCAGCTGACTGCAGGTTTCACCAACCTTATAAACAGTACATTTGCATAATGACTGAAAGCAGCACCACTTAATGAACAATGGGCTAGCCCCACCCAATCATGTAGGGTGAGGCTAGGTTTCACAATGAACTCACCCGAAACCTGGCTGATTGTGACCTACACCCGTTTTCACACCTCGGCTCATGTGATTAGAGAATCATCAGGGGATCCTTTTGTCCCTCTTTGGTGGGTTACACAGAGCTTAAATCTGGGACTCTCCACCATTTAACCTTAGAACTGAAAAAGCTTCTCGGCTGAGAGGTGAAATGTCTTCAAGAAACTTAAAGAAGTCCAGACGCTTTTCTTTCCAAGCTCCTTAGACTGCCTTGAACATTAATATGCAAATTCTCATTCTAAGTAAATTACATAAAAATGTAAAAAGAGAAAGAAACTTAACAAAAATAGTTGACATATAGCCGATATTACCTGTTGAACACTGTGTTGTGTTATTTGCAATTTGAAAATTAGGAATCAGAATCTGTGAGGTGTCGGTCAGGGTTTTGTCACTATCCAACCAAAATTTACTGAACCAGCAGCAAAAGAAGTTCGAAACTACGCTTCACATTTGATAAAAAACATCATCATTAATTCTCTCTTACTTTTGCTGTTTTTCTTTCCCCATAATAAAATCACACAACTACATCCCAAAGTGCTCTATTGGACTGAGAGCTGGTGACAGCGGAGGCCATTTGAGTACAGTGAACTCATTTTCAAGTTCGAGAAACCAGCTTGAGATGATTTGAGCTTTGTGACATGGCTCATTATCCTGATGGAGGCAGGCATTACATGATGGGAATACTGATTCATGATGTGGAAACTCTTTTTTACTTTTAGGAGTACACTTAAAACTAAACTAGAAGTTTCCTTTTTTGATAAATCTTATAGTTTAGACTGGTCATCCTAATGAGAAGTGATTTGGCACTATTTAAAGATTTTTGAATTGACTTGAATTGTTCCTAACACACAGTGAGTGTAGAAGGTAGAAAAAAGAAATGCACATTTATGTTTTTGAAAATTTGTGTTTCAAAAAGCTGGATGGATGATTCTCCAGTCGTCTTTCAAGCGTGGAGTGAAAATCAGCCCAACTTCCAGAACAATGACGAGAACTGTGTGGCTATTACTCCCTCTAGGGGTGAGTAAGCTGATACATTTTCACTAGCTTTCATCCAAATATTAACATGAGTATAAAACACCAATGAAGTCCATTATCTGCATATTTATTCTTTCAATTACAAAAAAATATTTTATATTTGTAATCGGCTCACAGGGTTCTGGCATGATTATAACTGTGGATTTCAGCTTTCTTTCATTTGTAAACGCAATAGCTCAATGCCCGAGCACATTTCAGTGGTACCAACTGTTCTTCCAAAGGGTGGCTGCCCACAGGACTGGAAAAAAATTAATTCAAAGGTCAGAGTCGCTCCTAAATATTGTCTCCTAAAGAAATGTGATGTAACTCATCAGTGCGTTATAACACTGCATTTTAAAAACTACAGTTATGCATAAGAATGAGCAAATCTGAAGTATCACAAGCTGATCATTTTTCAACTACAGTGTTACAGCATCATTAGCAAGGAGTTAGAGACGTGGGAAGGAGCAAGAACACAATGCAAAAACAAAGGAGGAAATCTGGCCTCTATTCTCTCAAAGCATGTACAAGGTTTGTCCTTTTTATATTATACATTTTCTTTTATAACAAAGGAGTCAAAAGGTCTGAACCCATTCATTATTTGTGTTTTTATGCTCTGTCATACTAATAGAAAGATCTATTTATGTTACCAGGAAAAATATGTAGTGGACACATGAAAGTGTGTCCATAAAGTGTGGCATCTTTTCCTCTGATCCCCTCAGTTTTTTGGTTGCTTTTCTTTATCGCATACATTTTCCCTGCAGACATGCTGATGGGTTTCCCAATCATGCTTCATTAAGAAACATAGTTATGCTTTTGTGTGATGTGCATGTAGTAACCTGTGATGTAAACTGTCTAGATGTATGTAGGACAAGAGACTATTTTATTGCATAAAATAGCGCTGATCACGTCAGCTTATTGCGCTGCTGGATACACTTGGCTAGACAAGGAAAAATAATTTACTGACTCCAGTTTGTTGGTCTGGTGAGCCACCTGTCACCTGACTAACAGAGACTTTCCTCCACCCTGTCCTCATTCATAAAGTGCTTTATAAGCCTGAACATTACAGCTAAAAGGTGAATTTTCCTGCTTCAGTCCAGCTAGCCAAACAGCATACAGCCTTTCACTGCTAACAAAATAGAGAGTAAAAGTGGACAGTATATCCTCAGTCTCTTAACATAAAACTCCTTGCTGCAGCCAGGGACAGCACAAAAGTGATCCCCTTAAACTGATTTTTAGTTTTATTTTCTCTTGAATTACTGGTTCTGTTACTAGTTAGCTAACATAAACTAATTTAAGTCTATTGACCACAACCAACCAACCAAACTGGTCATGTAACATTCCGTACTGTCAGAAGATGGCAGTAAACGTGTTTTTTTAAAGTTTAATTTTAAACACTTATTTCTTAAATCCAGCTACACAGGCAGTGTTACATCAATGTCAGTTTTTGAGAGCAGGGCTCCATAATGTAAAACCATAAATGTAAATGATGACACACAGTGCTCAACAGTGCCCTGTCCTACCATTTTCTTAATTTAAACTGCTAACATGAAATTCAAAATAAGTATATATTTGTGACAAACACAAAACAATGTCTGTTTTTTATATTATTTCTAGTGTTTTTGACTTCTAAAATGTTGGACGCGCCTACAACAGACCTCTGGATCGGTTTACATTATTTGCTTGGTTATTCATTTTACTGGACCGATGGACAACCAGTGCGGTACACTAACTGGCTATCTGTGAGTGGTCATCAGTGTACTTGAAGTTTAACCTTGTCAGTTTTGTTATTCCTCCTACTTTAGACTAGCATTATAGTCATTTGTATAAATCTGAATTGCATACACTGTATTTCTGTGCATTGTTAAGCATGTTTAACGTACCAGTCTTCAGTTGCAGATGACTGGGCACTGGATGCTTTTTACGGATGATGAGGATGAGGTACTTGATTATTTAACTGGAAGGTGCAATAACACTTAATTTGTTACAACTCACAGAAAGGTCTGGTGTAGTTAATGATTCTACCACACGATACATTAAGCTTTTTATTTAATTGTCATTATATGTAATATACTTTCTCCTTATATTCAAATATCACTCTAGTTCATATCCTAATTTTCATTGCAGAGAGATCATCGTGGTTATTTCTCAAGAGATGCCAAGGTAACTACTCTCCTTATGCCACATTGAAAAAAAAACAGTTAATATTATTTACCCTTGCATACTATTTGTATTCTATATCTTGATCCAGACCAAGAATTCCATCATAGTATTGATACAATAATAATTTTGAATAAGAGCTCAATTTAGCACGATAAATAGTCTATCTGGAATGGATGAGCAATCCATCACATAACTGGAAGTCTGGGACTTCCAGATACAGACAGGCAAACTGGTGATGGCTAACCAACCAGCCATAGTATTGTGGACAAGCAGTGGAAGACACCCGTAGTGAAGGCAACAGTGGTCCTAGTGGTAACAAGGGCACCCGGGGCAGTGACCCCCAAACTTGGCGAGTATGTGCGGCAGATCCCAGGAACAACATACGAGATCTCAGGTTAGAACAACGCAGTCCTAGGAACAGCAGAGATACTGTGCAGCCTAATCCTTTATTGACCAGAAGGTCCCTTTCTCTCATGTTTAACCTGAGTAGCAAAAGACCGCAGGGGGTTTGAAAACGATGTGCCGGGAGTTCGCTGTTCTCGCCCTGGCTAGCTATCGAGCTGGTGGGTAACAGACGTCTCCAAAAAACGTCGGAGCACTTTTGCAAATATGTGATATCTTGATAAACCGAGCAGATATTTGAAGTTTACACAGCTCTATTCAAGCCTGAAAATATGTTAAAAAATTATTTTGTGACCCAGAAAGAGTAAAAAGAGTAATATTAAAACTAAGTAGCTGCCGCCATTGCTGGAAACTGGAATTGGCTGGGCTGCGCTATGAATTCTGGGATATGGTAGGCCACGAAGGATACACCCAACCCATCCTTCAAATCTGGGGAAAAGGAGGACGCATTTGTCGGCTGCATTTGGAGAAGTCTACGAATTTGGACAGCCTTTGTGACGTCGCTGTGATGTAATCAGCCTACAAATGCGGCCTCAGGAGGATGCAGCCTATGAATTTTGACACCCCCATTGACCTGGAACAGCTTCAATGTTCAAAAATTCGTAGCACCTGTACAACATTCAAAACATAATAAATAACCACACCCCATCCCCCCAAAAGAAAAAAAAATTAAAGTAGTATTATTTTTGTTTAGTCATCAAATGTCATAATAAAATAATGACATTTAGGACATTTCTCCTGTCAAATGTCAAAACACATCAAATTTGACCTGAAAAGTATATAAGGGTTAATAACGAATTAAAGAAATTGTTCACAGTAGTGTATTGGCAATAAACACAAACCATAAATATGGAAAGTAAGGCCAGCAAAACAGATCCAGATATAACCTTAGTTTCTTTATTTCTATTCTTTCTGTCTGTCTCACCAGAGAGGATGTGCTGTGATGACAACTGATCGTACCACTGGTATTGGGAAATGGGACCAAAGGTCCTGCAGTGACAAAAATGGATATATATGTCTTCGTAATCTTGGTGAGCCAAGATTTTCAAATGCTTGTTATATATATTTATTTTATTGTATTTTTATAATGTAGTGTATCAGAAAAATGCTGTAGCTCTATGTATGTAGCTCCTCCTGTTCCAACATATCCCTAAGGTGCTCTATTGGGTTGAAATTGTTTGGAAAAAAATGTTTGACTAACTATCAGTGCATTTTGTGTCATGGTCCTGGGTCTTCAAATCAATGTTTTGAGTTTTTATTTTGAATTTAAGAGATGATTTAAGTTCATGCTTTGTATTATTTGTCTTGAATGTAGTATTTCCTAGTGCTCCTCTGTTTTTTTTTTAAATCTAGCCTTATTCCAACAGAATAGTGTCACAATTGGGCAAATAAGTAATTTCTTCTCGGACGCAGAACAATATTCTAGCCTTCAAACATAGATGAAGCAAATTAAAATTGAATTAAGTTTTTTAACTATTTTATTTATTTTTACTGTGCACAGATCCATCTCTCCCAGACTCCCCTGAACCAACAGCTAACAATGGCTATGTGAAAATACTTAATGATTCAATCAAAGTTGTTACTCAGAAAATGAACTGGGATTCAGCCAAAAAGTACTGTGAGCGTGATGGTGCTAACCTGGCTAGCCTGCGAAATGAGTGGTCACAGGTCTATGTTGAGCTGATGGCTTTGGAAATGGAAGGTCCTTTGTGGATTGGACTGAACAAAAAGCAGGTACAGCACACAAATGGTTTCACCTAATCTACTTGTAACTTTACTAATGTAAATGTTTGCGTAATTATTTAGTTTTGCTAATGTACCTGATTTTAAAAAATCCCCTGTAGGGAATTTACACTCTGCATTTAACCCATTCACCCAGTGAAGCAGTGAGGCAGTGAAGCATGGAGCATGTTATATATCATCTTCATCTTTTTCCTTCAGACTGGATATTTCAGACCTATTGACGGCTGGGAAATGACCTTTTCCAACTGGGATCGATTTGAACCAGAAATGAAACAATCTTGTGTGTATGTAAATAATGAAAATGGAAAATGGAAGACTGCTGATTGCGCTCACAACATGGCCAGTGTTTGTATGAAGTCTACAGGTAGGGCTCATGTAAAATCTGATAAAGCGATCCTGCATTTCTGGCGCTATGAACTATTTTTTTTTATTTCCCTATTTTAGATCTGACATCGTTTGTTTATTGTATATCAGTACCAATTAAAGATACTTGAATGCTCATTGGATTTAAACTATATATCTGGTTACTTTTGAATTCACAGATGTTCCACCAACAGAGTCAACAGCATCAGTCAGTTTTCCAGGAAATTGCCCTGAAGACCCAGCATCAAGAACTGGTTATACCTGGATACCCTTCAAGGGTTATTGTTACCTCTTTGTCAAAGGAAGTTTTGACTGGGGAGATGCATCTGCACTATGTATAAGATATGGTAAGGATATGGGAATGGTGTAATGCAAATTCCCAGTCCATCAGCTGTGTTTGGATTTAACAATTTGTTTATCTTTTGTTGGTCAAGGTGGAACTCTAACCAGCATTGAAAATCCTGCTGAGCAAAGATTCATTTTTAACAACGTGCTAGTATTTAAAGACAGCCAACCCTTTTTCTGGATTGGCATGTATCAGACTCACAAAGGTACAGTCATTTTTTCCACTCTTTCATGGAAAAATATTAATGTATACTTGAAGATAAATAAAAACAGAACACATAAACTGAAAATTGTAATTGTAACCGTGACATAAAATATCTGGTTAGTCTGTCTGGTGCTAGTGTATTTATTATCTCATTCTTATTGGCTGTTTATGCCCTGTCCTTATCTTCAATGTCACGCTGCTCTGTTGTATCTTAATTGCCCCTTGGCAATAAATAAAGTTTCTCTGATTCTGATTCGGTCCCATGCTGAAGATTCAAGCTGAGTGTTAATTAACACAATCTTAGTGTTTTAATATAACATGTGATTAGTGACAGGTTGCTGTGATTGAGAAAGTGATTTTCCTGGACTCTCTGCAGTGACTTGTTACTTACAAGGTAGACCAGCCTTTGGTCAGATCCCCAGAGATCAAATCTCCCCAAATGATTAATGATTCATGTTGCATTCAGAAAGACATGAAACAAACAATTGAGACAAACTCAGTGATTACTTCAGACTTCTAGACGTCCACACTTCTTTTGGCTACCTGATCACTCATCACCTGTTGACCATTAAGAAGGAGGGGAAAAAAGCAAACTGCTAAACACAACTATGAATATTTGGTAGTGGAGCATTAAGGTGCTAGTGTTGTGTTTTCAGTCACTTCTACTGCTCTGAAGTGGCTAATTAATGTAACTTTTCAAGTTATTCCCCTTCATACATATTTCCTATTGCAAGAGTAAAAATAAAGTACCAGTTTTCTTGCAACTGAACTAGAGCAAAAGAGAAATTCTGTTTGTTTCTAGGCTTGTGGAAATGGTTGGATAAAACAGCCATTGATTTCGTTAACTGGGGTCCAAATGAGCCTGGCGGTATTGGAACCTATGGAGCAATTGCATCTCTAGATGGGAGTTGGACAACAGGAAGGGTGTATAATAGCAAGGGATTTATTTGTAAAGCACCTAAAGGTAAGTCCAGAAATAAAAAGAAATGGTTTTGTAATAGCACAAATGTGCAACACATACACTTAACAACATGTTTCAATTAGTGCTGTCAGCGTTAATCTCGTTAAAATGACGTTAACACCATAACCGCATTAATGCGGCAGTTCTCCATTAGCAAGTTAACGCAGATCGCCGTGTGGGAGGAGCTGCATGGCGCTAATGCGTTAACAACCTAACCGCGCTAACGCGTTGACACCGTGCAGCCCTCACACGGGGCAATCCGCGTTAACTCGCTAACGGAGATTTGCCGTGTTAATGCAGTTATGGCGTTAACAACATTTTAACAAGATTTACACTGACAGCACTAGTTTCAATTGATTTAGCATTACAGTACCAGTCCCTGCAGTGACACAGACATTTTTATCTTTTTTTAAATCTTCTTTTTAGTATTACAAGCACCAACAACAATTGGTAAGTTGTGTCTTTTTTTATATTTGTCTTACATTTATAATTTAGTTGGACTAATCTATGTGCTCAATCTATACAGCAAGTTCTTCTATAGAGGATCCTAAAGCCAATGGCCACATGGTTTTGGAGGTTTTGCTTGGCATTACTGTGACTGCCATAGGGATAGTCATCATCATCTTCCTGTTGAAAAAGTCTGGTATCTGCCAGTCCATCTCTGAAAACTTAACTACCTTTGATAACCCGATGTTCTTTAACAATGAACAGGTCCAGGCTGGTGTGGTGGGTGAAAATTAATTGGTATCAAATGCATATGATGAGAACTCACAACTAACTGTTTAATGTGTATACCTGCATAATCTAATAGAGCTCTGATTTAGAAAATTTACTTTTATTTAGTCAGTTAGCAGTAAGTGGCATATTTTCAGATAATCTTATTTGATATTTAATTGTGTGTTTTTTTTAAAATAATAAAACCTCCCAATTAAAAGATAACTGATCAGTAATTTTAATCCATACATTTTTTTTTCATCTTTTTTACAAATATAAATGTTAGAATAGCTCTACATGGATAGGTATAGATTGATTTTTGTGTGTTAACTAAAGTTGGGATGTGCATTTGATTGTAAATAATGCAAACACTGCCACATACGTGTCCTACTGATCCATTTTGTCTTTGAAATCTTGATCACATCTACGACAGACCTCTATCACAGGAAATGAAACATTTTGATTAAAGTTATTTACAAGAATAAAATATCGGTTTCACTTTTGCCAAAAGATTCATCGGATTTATTCTAGTACTTCCTTTGCTTAGTTTACAATGTCTCAGCATAATGTCTGGTTACACTAGTTAGTACAGTGCAGCGAGGAATGCCCAGACCTCTACATTGGAGAGACCATACAGCCACTTCACAAGCGCATGACACAACATAGAAAAGCCACCTCCACAGGACAAGACTCAGCAGTCCATCTGCATCTTAAGGATAAAGGACACTCTTTTGAGGATGCCAATGTTCACATTTTGGACAGAGAGGACAGATGGTTTGAAAGAGGAGTGAAAGAAGCCATCTATGTCCACTGTGAGCGACCATCTTTGAACAGAGGCGGTGGTTTACGACATCAACTGTCTGCCATCTATAATCCAGTTTTGAGTTCCCTCCCCAGACGCCTGAACGCCCACTCACATCCTGGGCCATCTGACCTCAGGAATTCGCATGATAAGGTGGGGCCAGGTTTCACAATGAGCTCATCCGAAACCCTGGCTGATTGGGACCCACACCCAGTTTCACACCTTGGCTCAGATGATTAGAGGATCATCGGGGGGTCCTTTTGTCCCTCTGTGGGGGGATACTCCCACTAGGTTTAAATCTGGGACTCTCCACCATTTGACCTTAGAACTGAAGAAGCTTCTCGGATGAGAGGTGAAACGTCTTCAAGCAACTTAAAGAAGTCCAGACGCTTTTCTTTGCAAGCTCCTTTGACTACTTAACTAGCAAAAATGCTTTATTTTATACACCCATTACATTTATCTACTGGTTAGGTTAGTATTTCTTCATTGGATATAAATGGAAAATAACATTTATGGAGGCATGTGACACACGACACAGGAGCTCTAGTTTTACCCTCCAACTTTATTCACCTCCAAACATGAACTGAGCATATTGCGCCAAAACACAGCAGAATCTTTCCTCCCAGCTTGGGTGTGAGTGGAGCCCTCTAGTGGGTCACCACACATTTTATCTTGAATGTGTGGTCATTCTTTTCCAAAAACAAAGCAATAACTTGTAAAAGTGGTTTGGTTTATTCACCGCTAACAGTAATTGAATTCTTCTGATGAAAGGTTTTGTTTCAGAGACCATGATGCTTTAAAATTATACGCTGTTGCATTCATAGGAGCGACCGAAAAACATGTTTTAGACCAAAACTAGCAATAATTTATTCAAGTGTTTCTGTTTCTGAAGCAGTGAAAATACCTAATAAAAAGAAAACTCACTTTCTCACAATGGGGAAAATGTACCGAACATGCATTGTAGGGCAATGTAACTGTTCTATGGTTTACTTTATATTAGGTGAACTATAGCTTGAAACATTAAAGATACCCAAAAAAGAAACAAGATAAATAAAATCAACTGCACCGTAGATCAAGGAACTCTGAAACTATAGATGGGTACAAGAAATCTAATTCACAGAAGACTCACAGTTTGTCCTCTATGATTTTCTTCACATTTACTCTTATTACTTATGAAACATAATTCTATGCAGCTTTCAGTTCTCAGATCTGTCAACAAATCCAATAAAAAATTAGAAATTAGAGCTATGCATGTTGCTATGCTTTGTATTTGATTAAATATTTGAGTTTAGGGCTTAGTGGTTTTGATTTTCTTCTTTGTTTATTAACAAACTAGACTGTACTGCATCGTTTTTGTGGTTTATGATTGTGTTCTGTTTACTTACCCCTCATGTGTGATAGTGGTCTGATCAGCCATTATATATACCCTTGTGTCATTTCCTGTTGAGGTCAGTTATGTTTGTTTGGGCAGTCATTTGGTTTGTTAAGTTTGCAGTTGTTTGCCTGAGTTTAGTTTTGTTTCTTTGACCTCTTTTATGAGCTCAACATTTATTACTTTTGCTTCTACTCCACTGTACTTTGGATGTAAGTATTATTCTTTGTACTTCATATTTATTTTAAAACTTTACTCATTATTTTGCAATTTTCAATATTATAGGTTAAGCTACACAACAATAGTAAAACAATCAACAGCTACATTGAACTCTCTTGCAGCACCACTGTTATCATATTAAATCTATAATGGAACACGTGAACCTAAATTGTGCCCACTGTTTTCTGTGTCATTTTCTACATTGACTTTGTTTCTTTTTAAATACTGTGCATTAAACCATTCGACTATCTTGAGAGAAAATTCTCCAAATACTGTAATGGAAAAATAATTTGCTGACAATATTGCTCAGGATTTTATCAGCAAAACACAAATTATAAGTCGTGCTTTTCTCTTTCTTGGCACCTAGTCTAGTGGTTGTACCATAAGACCCAGGAAAAGTGTAGCGATAGGAATTTATGCTTTCTGTTGGTTTATTTGATGTTTTAAATGAAATGAAAAATATATATGAGCTTGCTTAAATGTTTGTCCATCTTGGTTCCCGTGACCTTAAGTGTTCGGGCAAGTTACCTTGTTTCTCTCCTGCAAAACTGCTGGATGATCTTGAGTTCATCTTGAAAAAAACGTTCGCTGATAGATTCAGTGGACAGTAATTATTGAGTGTGGTGTCATTTAACACATTTTACAGTTTAATGATTTTCAATAATAGAATGCATATTTGTCGAAATTAACTTCTGAATGCTGTACAAAACCAACCAACAAACAAACAAAGATAGCCCAAAAAAAAAGTCTTAAAAGGAACAGAGTCAATCCCGTCTTGTTAAAGTCTGTGGTTCTACCAAAGTCTTACCAAACAGTGCAAGAGGCTCTCTGGTTCTCCTTACATTTACTTAACAAGGCAATTATGAAGTATGTACAAATGCATAGAGATTGTATTCAAGCAATATATTTTATCACAAGAAGATGCATAGAGTATCCAGCATATAGCACAGGTCAGTGTCACCAAAAGATTATTCATGCTTCCAGACACAGCAAACACAAGTCAGTAAATATGCTTGTACACCAGTGTAAAAAGTAGGAAGTAAAGTAGTGACTTCACTCTCAAATCATGTAGAAAAATAGTTTGACTTTTCATAACAGTGTTTAAAATAACTTGTCTTTGGACACACCAATTTAAATGAAGATGTGACACCGAAATGCACAAGTCAGTTGTTCGCCACAGTTGTATGAACATTTGATCAAACAAAAAAATCTCACTGTGCAGATATGTAGAAAAAAATATCCTAAAATACAACATTCATTGTTGTAACTTTTCTTTCACATTTTGTGCATTTAATGAGTTAGTTAATTGTCTGATAAGGGAGATAAACATTAATGGGCTGCAACTAATGATTTCGTTTAATTGATTAACCTGCCACTTTATACATTAGTAAATTTACTCTTTAGTCAATAAAATGTTAAAGATTCAAATTGCAGTTCCCCATAGCTTAAAGTGACATTTCCAAACTGATTGTTTTGTTTGGTTCAAGAACCAAGTTGACACAAAATAATGTTTCACAATATCAAAACAAAGTCACAGTAAAACATTTTAGTCTGATGTCACAGCTACTGTATACTGAATCAAAACATAATACATGTTTTTTGTTGTTGCTGCTATTCTGAATTACTGTAAACTGAGCATCTTTTGATATTGGACTGATGGTCAGACAAATCTATTGGCTGCTGTGATCATGACAAATTAAAAAAGTAACCTTAGTGGATACTGAAATTATATATGAAATTATTATCGTGAACACTAGACTAGAGCGAGTCATGAGTGTTCTGATGCAGTTTAACCTTGACCACTGTTTGTGCCAAAACACGTATGGAGCCGTAAGACTTAGGATAAAACATACAAAAAATTTTATCTTACAAGAGCTAAAATAAGAAAGAACCAGATGTGTGCATGTGGGACAGGGTAAATCTTTAAAAAATGCAATATGAGGAGAAACATTGACTACAAAGAAGACATAACCTGCCCTGCCCATTAGTGCATTATAAGGTGAGAAGCATAATTCCATGCATCAACCTGGAGTAGAAACAACAGTCACTAGTGTATATAGGAATCTCTGTGCCACTGTCGAGCATCTCTGTCTCTATCTCTATCTCTATCTCTACCTCGATCCCTATCCCTGTCCCTTTCCCTGTCCTTATGTCTTTCTCTATCCCTATCCCTATCTCTGTCTCTATCTCTGTCTCTTTCTCTTTCCCTATCTCTGTCCCTGTCTCTCTCCCGGTCTCTGCCTGGGTAGTGGTGGTAGCTGTGATGGTTGTGTGCAGTATAGTGATCCGTTGTGTGGTGTGTCCGTGGTGGAATATGCTGGTGATGTCTGTGCTGCCGGTTGCGCTCATTGTGCTCCTGTTCGTAGTCCTCCCCAACATATGGCTGGATGTTTCCACGATGATGTTGGTGGTGGTGGTGGTGATGGTGCTGGTGGTTACTGTTGTGATGATGGTGGTTATGAACCCGGAAGTTACAGTAAATCTCCTCCTCGTCCTCCTTTAGGACATCGTCCACCTCGCCATCCCTCTCCTCGGGCATGTACCTTCGAGGAGGCCTTGAGGCGTAATCCCTGCTCGACTGTATTTCCATGCCACCTGAAGTCTGGCTGTGCTGGACGTGGCTGTGGTGCTCCGTCCGCCGGTGGTGGTGGTGATGGTGATGGTGGTGGGTGTGCTGGGGTCTTTTTGGCTCAGTCTTCAGGAGCCGCTCTTCCTCCTCTCTCTGGCCCTCCTCAGCGGTCTGCTCCTGAGCCGGGACTGAAGGGGGCTCATGGTCTAGATGGTTCTCCCGTGAGCCTTTCCTCTTAGGGGCACCTGACTTCTTGCTTCTCTGCTCATCCTAGGAAAAAAAGAAAGAAAAAACATAGTGTTTTCTGACTAAATATAACCATTATATCACAGATTATACATCTTACAAATTTAGGCCAGGAAAAGCTTATGGACAGATCTTTATGAAAGTTCTTTTTGTATTATAAATTATAGAACTTGAAATGGTAATTGGGGCAAAAAAGTTAAAAATATGACTTTTAGACGAAATATTCTCATGAATTAAAAGATAATTGTGATTACATTAGTATAACTGGATCACTGGTTTAAAATGGTCATTCATGATGGAAACCATCATTTTATCTTAGAATAATATTTATCTTCTTGTATCTAATGATCTGGTCAAAACTGTCGCTGTAATTGACAGATATCTTATTTTTGCATGTAGTGGAGGGTGGAGAGCTTAAATCCTCCATTACATTACAGGTCACGACTGTTTAATAAGTATTGCAAAGATCTGTGAGACATTTATTTTGATGTTTGACTTTTATTTTCTTTGTCAGTATTTTGTCCTCAAAAAACTATTTTCAGTTTGGTGAATAAAGACAAAGTTTCCACATTTACTGTAAAAACTACAACTTAGTATATGCACAAAGGTAGAAATGGTGCTGTTTTATTTAAAGCTCAATCGTTGAAACTGTATAGATGTGCGCAAGCATGAGCCTGATTTCCATAGTCAACACTCCTTTTTTAAATCATTTACATATTAAACTGTTTGCACCACAAATATTTATTTTAATCAATTAGGACAATGGTAAAAAAGAAATGCAACTTCACCAAATGTTAAGTTAAGAGATTCATCAAAGAAGAGAAGAAAAGTACATGTGTTTTAATTGATAGCCTTAGCTTGGGATAATTAACTTAATTAAATAAAAGTAGGTCAGCCTATCAATCCAACTATTGCCTTTTGTTTGTATCTACTACAGTATTAGTCTATCTTCATATAGTCTGTGTTATTTCTGTTTTCTGTCATTTTCCCAGGAAGTTTCACAGCACTATTAAGTTGTTTCTACATAGATTACACTATAGTCATGATAAACATGGTACTAACTACTCATCTCCACTGCTACACGGGAGTGACAATAGAGTCTGAAAATATCTCACTCACCAGAGGTAAGCCTATCTCATTTCTTCAACTTTCCAGTGAAGTACGATGAGAGGAAATGAAATGAAAGTGTTAGATGAATTCTGATGAGATTATTCACAGTTCAAACATTTATTTTCCACACTCAGCTGTCTTTCTAATACATGAGATGAATGGGATGAGATTAGATGAAAGGAAGACTTTACATCTGTTTTTTCTTTGTAGTTTTTCTCTGTACTTGTTTGTGTTTTAAGTACCGGTATTACTGTAGGACTGGCAGGCAGTGTATTCTCAGCCAGCTGGGCCACCACTGCGTTGGCAGGCTCCATCTCTGGCGGATGAGTGGCTCTCCAATAGGACTCCAGGTAATCAGCAATGTGCTCACAGGCATCCGATAGCTGGTTTTCATCTAAGATGACATCAAACATTTCCTACAGGAAATGGAAAAATTCAATTGAAAAGTGTGTAACAGTCAGGAGACAAGGGCAAATCTGTGGTTATTTTTGAGAATCACAAATAAGGTCTAAATGATGCTTCAACGGCACACCAAAATCGTCAGATATGTTGTTGTTGGGCCCTCAGCAGTGCCACTGGAAATAACACATGTAGTATATATTCATACACTAAAGTAGTCACAATTCTCATCTGCCACTAGATGGCACTCACTGGTGGACATTGAGCAAGCTTGTCTGCTGCCACAAGCTGAACATTGAGATGTTTGGTCTGAGACTTCCCCCTGGTCTTGATCAGTCTTGTCAACACCTGTTTGTCAGGAATCAAGAGAAGGAGGAGAATAAAAGAGGAAGTGAAAAAAGGGACTTGCATTTTAAAGTTTCTCTTTATTATTAGTTCAAAACATTAAACGAACTGAAATAGTCCAAAGTTCACGTTTAGAAAAATCATGTCTCATCGGATTCCACAGTCTTTTCCGGTGAAGCTTACTTTTGGTGAGGAGATCTTTACATAGACAAGAATTGGAGCTAGGGAGGTCTTGGACACCTGCATAGGGTGGTTGACGGTGTCTGCGTCTAAAATGACCAACTGCAGACTGCGGGCGAGCTCAAAGATACGCTCCACCTCCCCTTGGATCTGAGCTGCAACACCAGAAAGCAAAAGCAAGACTTTAACATCTAAAATCCAGGAAAGTTACTCTGTGCATGATTAAACATTTTAACATGTACAACAATAACGCATCTTAAATATAACTTGTTTTTAGGTTCCGGATGTGTATCAAGACATACCAGTGACTTATCAAGACTGTATCAAGACAGTACTTTTATATATTTTATGGGGAGTCATTCAGGCTTGATAATGTACAAAAAATAAATGTCAATATTAGTTTTAAGCACATCTCACTGTCACATGCAAAACCACGGACACTCTAGGATATATGCTTATTTGTAATTATTGTCATCTTTTCTCTGCTATACCATTTCTAATATAGAAAACAAAAGGTACGCACACTCACTTCACAAAACACATCAGCAGATTAAAAACTGTGTTAATGAAAAACATGCCATGCTTAATAAAACTTCTTTTAAAGGTTATTTGTTTTCATTTTCTTGGTGAGCTAATCCACGCAGTGAGTAAGACTTGTTACACTCATGGGAGTGTATTTAAAGACTGGCCACGAGAGGGAGCGTGAAGCAGGGCATACAGAAAATGTGGCTGCTTCTGTCCTTAATGAGTTATAGTGTTCACAAATAACAGTGAAGCACATGCATATCTCTCAACCCAGCAAACTGAGAAACTTAATAACAGTCGATTTCAATTTTAATGACAGTGAAGTCCACAAGTCAATGGCTGTATACATACAGAGTGTTAAAAAAGTGGCAGCTGAGACAGATGTGATGAGGTAATGATAGGAGAAGGAAAGTGGAGCATTCAAAAACACAAGGACTACCAGTGCTTTCAGTCATACATACCGGCAGCATCTGGGATGAGACAGCAATGGGAAAGACAAGAGTAGAGAAAACCAAACAAATTTTTATCACGCTTCTGTCTGATACCAAATATTTACTCTTCTAGGAAAAGGCGAGATTTGCACTATCCTAGTGCACAGTGTCACTGGGACAAAGACATCAAATCCACAGTAAGTTTCCAGTCAATATATAACCATAACTGACAGACAACAGACTGCTTTATGCAGATCTGATGTCAGTGTTCTCATCTGAGTCTCTGTCATATTTAACTATTCATTTCAAACTCTTTGTCTTCATGGCAATGGATAAATTATTCTCTCACATTATGAATTTGGAATAATCTTTGGACCATATATAAAAGCAAACTCTGTGAGCATGAGCCACACTGTGTTAATGGGATAAAGCAAGCATCATATCAAACCTGGGTCAGACAGTATTGGTTTCCTATTTTATCCTAATTAGGTTTCCAAAAGTTTTTTGCCACCAGAGACCAAAAAAGTGAGTCCCAGAACGCTTAAACAATTAAAGAAGTGTAGTCAGACCACTGTCGTTTGAAATGATTGATTCATTACAGCAGCAGACAGTTAGAGGTTGATGTCCATGCTCTGAGCTCATAGGGATGCTTCTTTATCACTATGTGTTTCACATTAGAGTGATAAGTTAACATGCCCTGGAGCCAGAAGGTGGATGCTGGGGTGGTGGAGGGGTTGAACTGCGTGCAGGGAAGCCGTAACACTGACATGTCAGAGGAAGAGATGCTAAATTGGGACATTGTGTTTTCATATATGATGCATTTTGAGTGGCTGTCATGATTTTCTCCATCTGTTTTTGTAATTGATTTATTTTCTTATTGCTACTACTGCTTCAGTTGTCTTTATGCTGTGAATGTCAACCAGGGAAGCTGTTCTGGAGATGACAGACGGCATACCTAAATTGGAGCGGGTGTTGGAGCGATCCATTAAGGCCTTTTTGCCAGGGTTGTTGAGGATGGATCGTTTTGCCAGTGAAATATCTGCTGTTACCCGCGTAATAGTAATTCTGGAGCAGAGACAAAATAACAATCATGATTACACAGTTATGATTTTTGTTGTTTTATTTTATTTTGGGGTTGTTGTTTTTTTCAAATAAATTATGTGATAGATTATGTGAAGAATTAAATCAGAACTTACCTGCCTTCAAATCGATGTTTTAAAAAGTCAAATAGTGCTTTTTGCATCATATCTGTTACCTACAAGAGGGAAACAAATAAAGTTACTCCAAATTCAACAAATAATACTAGAGTTTTATATTTCTTCAAAAGTCAAATTAAGCTCACCTCTAAGCCCTTCAGTGATGGTCCCATTAGAACCACAGGGCGCATTGTAGGCACTACATCATACATAGCCACCTGCTCCCCCTGTAGCAAAAAAATAATAAATTAACAAAAATCCCCCAAAGTTAGATTTTTGCTTATGAAACAAGAGCTACATGAGGAACCACTATACCCATCATCTAAAGGCTAAAATTATCTTATTTTTATGAACAACCTCAAAGCTCAATTTTGGCTGTACTCAAATGCTTAAACATATAAAGAAGAATAACTTATTAACATGTTATTAATACCACTTTGAGCATTAGATTTTGTTCTCACTTTTTAGCTGGTCATAGCAACAGATAGCAACTTAGAAATTCATGAACTATTTTTTTAGCCCGTAATATACCAAGGTGATCTAAATGCAAGTCAAAAGTTCAGTTGGCCAGTGTCACGGTCCTGGATCGGTGACCCAGTGTTTTGAGTTTTGTACTTTTACTTTTGATTTTATCATGGATTATGACTGTTTGTGTTTTGGTTTCTGTCCTAGTATTTCTAGCTCCCTGGTTCTGTAGTACTTCCTGAGTTCTAATTCTTAGTTTTTGTTGTTTGGTTTTCTGGCGTTAACTCTGTGCCCTTCTGTCCTACATTTCAGGTCTCGATGTTCTGCCTCCCCAGTCTCTGTTAAGTTTACGTGTCTAGAGTTCAGTTTTACTTTGAAGGTCTGTGTCTCATGTCAGTGTTTCTAGTTTTGCTTCCCTTTGGTCTCGTCATGTCTCATTTCTCCCAGCTGTGCTCTCCTCCTGTGTCTCATTCCCCTCATTATTCCCCAGTGTATTTAAGCCCTGTGTTTCTCTGCGTCAGTGTCGTGTCGTCCCTCATGCTGTGTGTTTCCTTGTGTGCCTCTTGATGAAGTTTATATTTTCCAGCTTAGTTTAGTCCTGTATTATTTCTGTGTGTCAGCAATAAAGCTGAATTTTGAGTTATTCCCACGTGTTGGGAGTTCTGCATTTTGGGTCCTCTTCCTGCCTGTACACAGCTGAATCATGACAGCCAGTTTTACTGACACTGTCAGTCCAATGGACAACACACATATCCTTGCTTTAGTCTGAAAGTTAGAACAACATTTGTAAAATGGTACACAAGACAAAACCAAAGCTTCTGCATTCAAGAATTCACTGTATGCAGTGAAAATATGAATAAGATAAAATCAGTTGTTGTGTTTCTAGAAAGCAGTGTTCTTTATAATGAGCATCGATGGGCTGAAACAGATGTAAACAGAGTGTAAACACTCTCGTCACTTACCGGCTTCTTTTTCACCTGCTGATTGGCTGCTTGTGCAGAATGACAAAATCGCACACGTTCCACAGTTATTATGAATAAAAAAGCAAACATATTTATTGTTACTCCCTTGTATGCACATACTGACCTTGTGATGGAGGAGTATATTTCTTCGAGTTCATATCTTGAGCTACCTGAGATGCAGCTTTGCTAAAATGAGAGGAAATCTCTGATTTAGTTTAAGTCTGCAACAACCAAACGCTGATTTTACCACACTCTGAATTTCAGTGCTTTAGTAATGATAAAAATAGACCACCATGTTTCTATGGAATGAAGGATTTTGGTGCTTAGAGACTGTGTGTCTATTTATAGCATAAGACACAAATATATGAAGCTTAGAGGGCAAATCCCTCAAAGTGGTTCAGCGCAGTTTCCACCAAAGCAACATTTTTAAGATTCTTTAAATGTGTTACAGTCTAACTGTGTCAATCAATGAGCTTTTGCCTTCTGGTGAGGGGGGTGGAGGTGCAACCTTTTGAAGTAACAAAAGGAAAATATAGTCATCTCCGTTATAATTTACTACCACACATGATGACATGAAACAAACTTAAGTTAAACAACATAAAATACATAAAATAACTAATGTCATTCATACATGAACACACTAAATTACTAAAAAGTAAGCTGGGAAAGTGTATGATACAAGTTTTAAGTCAAAACGTTATTTGCATATCACTACAGCAAACTTGTTTACCAGTCTGGTTGATAATTTTTTTAAATTGAAAACGTATTATTCCACACCAGTAAAAAGACTTTAAAATTGTCTTTTTGTTTTTTAAAAAAGGTCCGCTACCGAGCCACCACCCGCAGACAGGCTGATATCACAACCTTTCCTGTTTTTTTTTCCGTCTTTGTGCCAAAAGTATCAGTGTATACACATTCGAACCAACACTGTTTCCTCAAAGTCTCTCTGCTCCAGCAATTTTATTTATTTGTGGTCAATTTAAAACACAACTTTTGCATTGAAATTCCTGCATAAAAACCCTCATGAAGGAAATGAAAGAGCATCACGATGTACATACTTGGCTAATGCCTTGGCAGCTTTCCTCGCTTGGACTTCTCTACGGATAAGAATGGTTTCCAGATTGACTGGACTGGGGACAAAGCCCACCACACCATCCTCCTTCACCGGCCGTCCGATCCACCAGTCATTGTTAAACTTCTGCTCATTCAGAAGAAAAAAAGAAGAGCGGACATTTAAAGATTGATGTTCTCATGTGACATTATATTTATCTGATGATGTTAATGGTCCAATTTAGCAACTGTAGCTTTGCATTTTATGTTATCTGTATCTAAAGATTAACCCAAATCTTAATTAATAGGTGTCAAGCTTTATCAGCTAAACCACAGCACATTTCAAAATGTGTGAAAAGAAGAAGAATGCACCAAAAGTACGCCACTATCTGGACAATTTGGGATGTTGTGTTGCTTCTCCTCTTTGGATTTCTTTTCCGTCTCTTGGGTTACATTCCATCAGTTTGTTGTCATTTTGCTTCTCATTTTAAAATCCGCCTGGTTCTGCCCTGTCAGTTAGGTCCTTCTAACAACCCCCATTTGTACTGTTTGTAATTTTGCATGATATGTGTATTTGTGTTTGTTTCAAACCTCTTTGATATGTAGGAAGTCCCTGGCCTCAAAAGTGACAGCCTGGCCTGGTACAGGGACGTTGTCATCGTCTGCTGGCGTGTAAGAGAAGTTGCATCGTACAGCAAATGCCACAGGCTTGTACTGGGAATACAAGGCAGGAGTTATGATTACTAATAAATCATATTATATACAATACAATCTACATCAGGGTAAGAGAGTAACCTTGTGTAATCCATTTTACAAAAGCTAAAAGCTAAGCTTTTATAAATATGACATTTAATGAATTAGGTCAGTAATAATAGGTAAGTAAAAAAATAGTAGGTTAAAGTTAAAAATACAACCATTAGTCAAGAAAAGAGAGTTACTGTGACAATACCACAAGCTGTAACGTACGACCAAACAAGTCACTGATCTTTTATCCTTATATTAATATTCAATCCTATTTTACTGTATGTGAAGTTGCACATAATTGTGATTCCTCAGTTCAGTAAGGAATAACTAACTATTAGAGAATTTCAGAATGTTGACTTCATTCCAGTGTTTTAACATCTTTAGATCATAACATTTATCAATTTTTTCTCCCTTTTCTACATTTTTTTAAATTAAGGGGTGTGGCTAAATTGCATAACTGTGTCAAGTACAATTGGCTGTGTTGCCAGCATTTTGTGTACATACACAAATATGTGGCCTGATGCACATATAAAGTAACATTTTGACAGATGTTAGGAAAACAAGTATAAGTTTAATGTGAAGTGCTATATTTTAGAAATATAGCTTAGACACAAATTCTGGAAGATTCTGCATTTCAGCTGTATAAGACGAAGCTACTGATGATTAAATTCCTGTTGTCTGACTGTCATAGGACACGATAATGTTTTGTTTGAGTTTTCTTCCACCAAAGGGATATGTTTAATTTATGCTTAGGAAAAATGACCTGTTGCTGTTTCTTCTTTGTTGCACTGTAACTACTGTATGCTTCCTCCTGACCGAAGGTTGGTGTTGTAATCCAATCAGAATCAAATGTCAGTGGCTTGTCATTCAAGCTGCTAATTACTCCACTTTGGAAAGATTAGAGACTGTGGGAGAGGCTGCAGGGTCAGCAGGTGACAAGTCGGGTGTCTTTGCCGCCTTAATTACAAAGCAACAGTGGGAGCACATGAAATCTGTGGGGGAGGATTTAATTTAATATACAACACATCAGCAGGGTCTGCTTAAAGGGCAAAAGAGAGGAAGTCTGCTATCAACTGGGGCTTTAAAAAAATCACATCTCTAATGACCTTAATTGTGATTATGCCCCAAAAGGAAAACCTATATCGCACATTTTGTATGTATGTAAGCCAGACTTAAAAATGATAACCATATGATATTACATTCATAGTATAATACCAGCAGGTTCAATCGTTTTACCTCATCTTGACTATCTATTGTGTTTAATATATACACACTGCAGAAAAATGTTGTTCCACTCGTGTTCTGACGGCAAAGTAATTAATCACATATCAAATTTCTTTACAATTTAAATGTTGTTGCATTACAATATAGTTAGTGTCAGTTAAATTGGTTATTTTGCTATCTTGCTAGAAAGCATATGGCTAAAGATGAAAGTATTGTAATTTATTTGAAGCAATAATCAATATCCTTGGTCATCATCCTTCTCCTGGCAGTGAGCACATAAAGGAACGACAAGGATGAAGACTGTGATGACTCATTTCAGTAGAAGAATATTGCTTCGCTAATCCAATGTCCAGATGTGTGTGTTTCATGTCTGTGATGTAATCATGTCCTTGAGAGCAGCCTCTCTCAAAAATGAGTCTGTAAGAGCCACAGTGGGTCAGATCAGGTGATACATGATGGAACAGAGCAAAAGTACCTTTGCTTTCTCCAGCTGCACCTGGGCGTTTCTTTCCTCAACGACATCTGTGTCCTTATGCTCTCCCTGCAGGAGATACAAAGGAAGAGCAATTAGTTTGATCAATTCACTGTAAATAAGACAAGAGAGGAATGCTGCAGAAGGAGGACAAGAAATTACATATTTTCCGCTGCAGTCATTTCAAGGGTGGTTACATAGTGGAGGACATATGAGACATTTAAAATGTATTTAAATCAATGCAGCTGCAGCAGCAGCAGGGTTACAGTCCAAGCATGGTTCAAACTCCAAAAACACTGGATTCAAAATAAAGACCTTAGAATAATAGAGAGGAAAGCCCACCAATCAGATATGAGCAAACATGTTGCAGCAGTGGAAAAGAAAACATTCATATTTTAAAATTCTATCCAGTAATGCAACTCAGCAGCGTCATTAGTTAGCCATACTCTTTCTGACGAACAAACAGCATAATTTACATGTCGCACTTTATTTTTTAAAGTTTCTCTGTCCTAGTCAAAGTTGAATCTATTCAAGTCATGTAGGGTGTCCCAAAAAAAACGAGAGCTGCAGTTGTTCAGCAAACGAGAGCCAAAAAGGAATCGTTAAACAGCAGAGTTTTAGCAAGAGAAAAAACTAATGTCATAATGAAACTAACAGGAAAACCCTTATGGAATTTAACCAAACAAAAGAAAACTACAGTAAATAAAATATTGCCTCACAATAAGCTGTCCCTTCCTATACTTTTGCCTTCTCAACTGCATGGACTCTATCAGTTACACGGGTAAACAACATAACATAAACGACATAATATGTTATATATTATTTTTACAGAATTTCAGCAACAGAAAAACATTCTCTTATTCTACCTTACTTGTCTTGTGTCCCAGTTGCTCTTGGGTCAGTCCTATCAATGCAAATATGGATTTATTACTAACGACTAACAGCTGATTCCCAGGAAACATAGATGCAAAAGAGAAACTGATCATGTGATCAATAATTGCAATAATTAAACAACTTATCAATTAGCTTTCAAGAAACTTTTGCATGTAATTCTGCAAAAATGTAGCAGCAAACTCCCCCAGGGACACCAAGGTTTATGCACCATGTCTCCCTAAGATTAGATTGTCCTCTCAAAGACATGGTAATTAACGCTCTCAGTGTCATAGCCAGGAGGTGGCAAAGCCCATCGCGTCAATCTGGCACTCATGATACGCACTCGCATCCCAGAGTCGCAAATCAGGTCTGTTGTTGAAGACAGTCTGCTCTGCCTGATGCATTTAGATCATGCGCCCTTGGTGGGTCAAAGTCAATATTCTCAAATCTAATCTGAAATTGTTGGTGCACAAAGTGATTTTTGGATTAGGTCCCTACCAATGATATAAAACATTAAAATTAGTTTGCAAATGTTTGCTCTGCTTCATTTAGATGCTCTTTGACTTGTTAACACATTGAAAATCATACACAGCTAAATGGTGAAGTAATAAATAAGCTCAATTATGGCAATCCACACCCCACTCCTAGCTAAAGTGTTTTTTCTGCAAAAAACTGGAATTGCAACTCCTCGTCTTCCAAAGTGAAATGGAGAGTTGCTTTTGCTTGCCCGCTGCCCACCCTGAGCAATGCTCCCCACAGTGTTTCCACTTGATCACAGTAAAGGGAACAATTACATTCTCCAGCAAACATTGCAGTCAGCTGCAATACCTGCCTCCTCGAAAATCTAAGAAAATGTCGACATATTTTAAACATTTAACATGAAGACTTCTACAATCCACTAGTTTATGGCTGTTCATATGATTAAGACTCTTTTTTTTTAAGTAATTGAGAATATAGGCTGCTCACTGTGCAAACCCAAAGAACCTTTTTTTTCTGGCACACCTTTACTCTACCACCTGCTCCCCCTCTCCATGTTATTCTAAATGAGTGCACACTAACACTACTGAAACACTTATGATGATGGATTATGCACCATGTCATTAACATAGGCCAATTTTTACTTCTGACCTATCTTCAACTCCAAAATGGCTTAGCTTTAAAATGAAATTGAAAGAGAATAGCAGGGACTGCAACGAGGAAGGAAAGCATGAGGCGTGAGGGAAGCGACTGAGAGCGCTACAGTGCTACAAGAAGAAAACAAAGTAAAAGAAAAATATCTTCAGAGAGAAAACAAAAGCACATTCAGTGGTGGCAGAAATGTGCACATATTTGCTCATTGGAGGGGGGGACACACACACGACTAATACTCGAGAAACAACAAAAGTATTGATCAAAGAATCACAAGGACATAACGTATCAACGTGCTAAATTGCTGGTAATTACACATTACAGTTATGAAAAGCTGGTGGATGCAGTAGAGACAATGTCAAAACAGAAAATTGAAAATCAGAGAGAAGGAGGAAGTAAATCTCCCTGGGGCACAATTATGCCCAGGCAAGGATTTTTGTTTACCCATGCCTGGCAAAGACATCTGGTCGCACAGCACCCAGCTCTCCTGTGAGCCAGTGTCACCCAGCCAATAGTACAAAACGCCCCCGCTGAATTATTAAGCAACACTGAACTACTGCTGATGACTTTACGAGAATGAGTTGAGCTCTATATATATATATATATATATATAATTTTGAAAGAGATTGTAATTAATATCGCAAGTTAAGTAACCTTTTACTTTACAGTTCTGATTCACATATTTATTTAAAAGTTTTACATAAGTGGGGAAGATCTTAATGGACATGTCTGTGGTCTGGCATAACAGTTACAGTGTGTGATTCTAGACTCTATTGCAGATGAAGACTGTGCCTGGTTTACTTTATTCACTGTGTTGCTGCATTGAAGCCATGTAGATAACTGTACCTGCTTGAACTGAGACATTTTCTCATTGTGTCTCATAATTATTGGATTATTCTCTCAGATTTCCCAACCTGTGCATAATCTGGCCACGGCCTCTGAAATGTGAAGATCTGATCTTTTTCTTTGAGATAAATTACATTTAACTAAATGTTTTTTAAAAAAAGGCTTTTGTTTCATTGTGTTATTGTGATTTTAAAGATGTGATCAATTCAGAAAATAAATCTTCACATTAATAGATGATCATTAGTTCATTAATTGTTACAGTCCTTTCTCTTTTGATATTAAATTGAATCAGCTGAGTTAAAAGAAACTGCATCTTTGTTGACCAATAATACCCAGACTCTTCCCTGTACAGTATTTTCTCTCTATCACTAAACTTTTCTCTCATATAGATACTCGAAGTTGATTTTTCATTCCACTCTTTCAAAGTCTTTACCCTTAACTGATCCCCTCATCATTTCATTAAACCCCCTTCTTTCTTCTCTTTTGTCCTTCTCTCTATCCCTGTTGGAGAATCTTTTTAGACCATTACTGTGATTACGCGGCTTAGAAGGTGGGCAAAGGAAGGTAGAGGGCAAGGATGACGTGAAAAAAAAGGAGTAAAGGCACGCTCTCTCGTGTGCTACCTGAAGGTGACTCCTATTCTGCTGAAAAGTGTTTACACAGCTCTTTCAACACACGCCAGGAGAGTGCATTAGGAAAGGAGCATCTGATTGGGGAGATGGACTCCATCCCCAAACCTAAATAATCAGAACCATCGAGTCACCAGGAGCCAGCTGGCTGCCCTGGAGGATTGTGATTCCCCAGAGGTCGAACTAAACTCTGAACCAGTTTTTAAAAGGATTCTGTTATCCATGCAGCTTGCATCAACATCAGATATTTAGCAGGTATTTGGCCTTGCATGACAAAATGTGCAAAATTATTAGATCATTAATGGTAAATGGCCTGTATTTATATAGCGCTTTACTAGTCCCTAAGGACCCCAAAGCGCTTTACATATCCAGTCATCCACCCATTCACACACTGGTGATAGCAAGCTACATTGTAGCCACAGCCACCCTGGGGCGCACTGACAGAGGCGAGGCTGCCGGACACTGGCGCCACCGGGCCCTCTGACCACCATCAGTAGGCAACGGGTGAAGTGTCTTGCCCAAGGACACAACGACCGAGACTGTCCAAGCCAGGGCTCGAACCGGCAACCTTCCGATTACAAGGCGAACTCCTAACTCTTGAGCCACGATCGCCCAAAGAATAATAACCAAAGAAACCAAAGAAAAAAGAAAAGTGTGGCTTTGTACCAAGTTTGGTAAACTAAACTAATATCTTGATGCATGCTCAGTCATCTAGGCAAGGAAATCCCAGAAAGTTTCTTATGTTCATCTAATTTTAAGGGGGGAAAAGTTTCATCAAACATTTGTCAAACATTTCGTCACTCATCCAAGTGGATAATGTCTTCTTCAGATGACTCAATCATCCAAGTGGTGTTCCTCTCACTAAAACACTGTGTCCAGATGTACAGAGTCAACTTTTCAACTTTGAGTGCAGAAAGTGTGAACTGAGAACTCCACTGACTGACATTGACCAAATAGGAGATATATGAGTGCTAGTTACACAGCTGTCAGCTGCAAAACAATGGAGGAAAGCACATCTGTTTATACAGATACAGCTTTATAAAGTGCATAATTTTAAAAAAAAAAAGTATTTTTCAATTTAATTAGTTAAATAAAATATCAAAAAACTGCCTTTCAAAAAGATCTGGTAATGAACGTAACCTCCCTTTTTTCATTACCTTACATCAACTGAGTGTTTAAGTTTCTTGATTGGTTCATGACTGGTTGACAGCTAAAGCAGTAACTACAGTCTCCCAAATGCTATTCAAAGAGGTGCATCGCCCTCTCTCACTGTAAGTCAGGTGAGAAGGGACCAGGTCATTGCCTGCTCATCCAACCATGTAGTGAAGTACTTTGATGCATGTGGTGGAGCTCAAATGATCATTTCCTTTTTGAATGTTGGAGACTTCTTTATGACATTTCCCTCCTTCTTTTCCTTTCTCTTTCATTTAGTTATCTTGCACTTAGCACTATTTGGAAAGCTTTTATTGCACTTACAGTAACATAAGTTAATAAGAGCTGGACAAACGTTTTCTTTGCTACACCTGTCTTTTATCTGCTCCATGTCGGTAAAACAGAAACACAAGTGGTGAAAAAGAGAGTAGGTAATGGCTA